GGGGGGGGGGGGGAGAAAGACCCGAGGGAGGGAGGGAGGGAGTACGGCATAGCGACACACACACACTGACATTCACAGCCCCAGTCAGTGTCTACCTGTATCTGTGCTTGTGTCTTGTTGAAGAGGTCTTTGGTGGTCAGCCCTCTTGCAAACTGACTCCGCGTGACGATCAGCTCCTCGTACTGACAGAACGACACGCACACTATGTCACCCTACAAAGATCTTGCATGTCATCGACTCGACTCATCCATCCACTCTTGTCAGTCACCTGTTTCTCAAGTGCCTTTTGCTCTGTGAGTATCCTGCTGATCTCGTCGCCCATGAACTGACTCAGCTCGTCACGACGCACCGACGCACCACCTGCACACACACACACACAGACAGTCAGATCCCTCCCTCCCCTTCTGTGTGTGTGCTTGTCTGTCCGCACCTGCCCCGGCAGTGCCATTAGCCGGCGGCCCCGTCCCTGTTGGACTCATCTGCAGCTCAGACATCAGCTGCAGCTTGCTCAACGCCTGCAAACCAGCAGAAACCACATCCCCCTCAGTCTTTTCTCTTGGGGCCCGGCCGTCTCTCCCTTCCCTCCCGACCTCTTCGATGAGTATCTGTGCCCGCAGAGACTCAATGGGCGTCAGCCGGCCCGCCAGGGAGGGCGATGCCCCCGCTGGTGCCGCGCCGGTCGCCATGGCGCCTTCCCTCAGAATCAGGTCAGGCAAGGGATGTGGTGTCTGTGTTTGGTTTGCTCAGGCGACGGGTATTGAGGGGTTCCTGCAGTGGCGACGGGCCTACAAACGTCGCGCCTGTCTGCTGCTCCACAAACGACGGAAAAAGGCAGCTTCTCAAGCCAAGCTTCTTTGGCGTTGACGCCAATGCTCGGGTTTCAAACCCTGGACCCCAGCCTAACCCAAGCACAGAAGAGATGTTTCTCTCTCGTCGTCTGCTGAAGGTCATCCCTGTGCCAGAGTTCACAACGGGCAGGAGCGCACAGAGGGTCAGTCGCCACACAGCACAGCACAGCACAGCAAACTACGCAGGCAGACAGGCAGATGCGCTGATCTCTCTTGTGTGCTGCTGCTGCCCTGTGTGTGTGCGTGTGTATGTGGCACGGGACGGCAGGTCAACATGGCGAACGAGGACCGTGCGCGATTTTTCTACTGGAACCTGATCTCCATCGGCATCACCGCCCTGCCCATCGTCTACCTCTGCTCGGTGAGTGAGCGAGTCAGGCCGGCCATACACGCACATACCAGATCCATCCGTTTGTGTGTGCGTGTCGTGTCTGTCGTGTGTGGGCTTGCATGTGTGTTTGTGTGTGTGTGTGGTCTCGTTCAGGGGCGTCACCACTTTTCGAAGGAGGACGACGAGACCCTTCGACGGTACGACCCAACCGGCTACATCGGCAAGCCGTTCAAACCGGAGTACAGAGACCTCCACCTTTACATCCCCGAGAGGACGCCCGCTGCAGTTGAAGCTTAGGCGGCATGATCACCCACGGATGAGGGAGGGGGCTGTTGGCCACTCTACTAAGGAAGAGCAGGTTGTTCTTTGTTTGTGTGAGAGAGAGCTGGAGAGGGGCGCACGCTGTGTTGGTGCAATCGTGTGTGGGTGCGGGACATCCGTTCGGGAAATTAGGCGCAGAGATCGATCGATCGATTGAGCGGTCGGTTATGGACAGAGAAAGTGTGTTGATTGGTGTGCTCGTGCATACGCTGTGTGGATTGACCGACACACACAGAGAGAGAAAGGCCTACTGAGTCTGTTCTGTTGCGTGGCGTGGCATTGGTTAAGAGCATCAGGTCAGTCAGTCACGCATGTGTGTCTGCCCCTCCTCCACGCACGCATACACACACACACCGAGCCACCACTCGTCTACGCAAAGTGAGTGCAATCCCATGGATCCGATGCACGGAAGCATTCAGCATTCAGTCGTCACAGAGGCACGTCCGCTTAAACACACACACGCTCAACATAGATCGGAAAAGAGATAGGGACAAGACGCCCGCCCGCCTGGCTTCCACTGCTGCTGCATTGCACTTCTGCATTCGTGTCTGTCTGTCTGTCTGTCTGTTGGGTGTGCTATCTTAGTGTTACCTCTCTCCGTGTGCGCGCAATTAGATATGTACGTGTGTGTGTGTATATGCCACGTATGTATGTGTGTATGTGTGTGTGTGTGTGTGCATCTCACCTCTTGGCGGGTCCGTCCGTCCGGCGCTTAAAAACTCCTGCATACAACCGATGGATAGATGGGCGATCGGCCTGCACCATGCACACACACACACACACACACGCGTCCGCCGCCTCTCCCTCGGTGTGCGAGGTGAGTGCGTGTGTGGCCATATATATAACTCACCGTGTTGTGCGCCGATCCCTCTGTGTGTCAGTAGGTGTGTTCACTGGGGCGGTGCGGTGCCATAGCCCAGCGCATCGCACAGACGCTTCTGGAGATCGCCCTTGTTGCCCCCCACCAGCATATTGAAGCGCTGATTGACACATAGCCACACCACACCAGGGGCAACCACACAGACACACACGTGTGTATGCGCGTGAGTGTTTCGTTTGCGTGATCCATGTCGTTCGTCCGTTTACCCTGCAGTGATCCTTGAGCTCGGTGACCTGACACCGCCCCCCACGCACACACACAAGGTGTATGTATGTCTGTCTGCGCAGTGCAGGTGTGACCGTGTTGTCTGTCTCCCTCCCTACCGACCTTCATGTCCATGATTTGTTCCTTGGTCGGCCTTTCAGCGTCCTCGGGGATCACAGGCACACCACGGCTGCACCACCGACCCACACACACAAACACACAACACACAGCAGCAGGATGCCACCAAGCCATCAACGAACACTCTCTCACTCACTGACCTGCTGCCCTGGCTGCCCTGGCTCTTGCGCCCCGGTGAAGACGTGCGATGCGACGGCTCGTCCTCCTTGTCACCACCAACTCCATCAGCCGTGCTCTTGGCCGCCGCATCCACCTTCTCGACGGGTGGCATCGGGCTTTCCTTCTCCTTCTGCTGCTCCGTGACGGTCTCCTCTTTGAGGGTCTCCTGCTGCTGCTGCTGCTGCTGTGGTGCCTGGTTGGGGAGTCCCTCTTGAGCTGTGGCCTCCATGGGCTTGGGGGAAACCTCCTTCTGTGTCTGTGTGGGGGCCGGCTGCTCAGCGGCTGCAGCAGGAGGGGCCGGAGGAGGCTGCTTGTCTTCATCCATGGGAGCTGGTGCTGGTGCTGGTGGTGGCTGCTGCTGCTGCTTGTCTTTGTCCTTTTCGCCAATCTCATTCTCGACATGTGGTGGCTGCTGCTGCTGCTGCTGCTGCTCTTGCTGGGTGTCCATGGGCGCGGGAGGGGGCTGCTGACCAGAGAGAGAGACACACACAGACGAGTGCGTGAGCGTGTGTGTGTGTGTATGTGTGTGTGTATGTGTGTGTGTGTGTGTGTGTGCTGACCTCCTCTGGTTTGCCCTCGCCCATCTGGGTGTCCCCCTCCTTGTGCTGCTGCCCCTCTACCTCCATCGGCGCCTCCTCCTGCACTGCTGTCTCCCTGGGCTGCTGCTGGTCCTGCTGGTCTTGCTCAGTGGCGGCCATTCTGTCGTCCTCGGTCTTCATCTCGACGACGCCCTCCTTCTTGTCCTCACCCTGCACACACACATCACGTATCGTACGTGTGGTGTGCATCATGTGTGTGTGCGGCTGGGCGGGGCGCGGACCTTTTTGTTGTCAGGTTCGAAGGTGGGCTCCTCGACCCGCACCATGCGCACATCGCCCTCCTCCTGCACACACGACACGACACGACACACAAGGCACAACAAGCATGAGTGTGCGATGCGACCTATCGGCGGGCGTCGTGTGTCAGTCAAATCCACCTGGCCGTTTGATTGTTCGCCCTCCTCCATGGTCTCATCGCCTGCCGCTGCCGCTGCTGCCGCACGTGGTGAGGGAGCGGGACCTCCGTATGTCTCCAACTCTGCACACACGTGTATGTGCACATAGAGGTGTGTGTTGCGTGGACTCATCCACACCAGACGGCACCCATTTCTCTCTGTCTGTCTTGGTGAGGCGCCCCCCCCTCCCCCGGCGCAACATACCCGACTCGTCAATCTGCTTCAAAGCCTCCAGCTTGCGCTGCACACACACACACACACACACGCACAAACAGGTGTGGATGGATGGATGGACATCTGCCTCCCCCTCACTCTCTCACCTCTATGGCCATCTTTGTGTCGGTGAGTAGCCGCTCTGTGACGCCGTTGTGCTTGGCCGGCAGGTAGAAGATCGTCGGCTGGGCCCTGTGGACACACACATGGATGGATGGATGGATGGATGGACACACACACAGACGGATGCACCAGGGTGCGGCGCTCGTATGTGTGGTGTGGTGTGGTGTGAGGTGGTGACCGTGTCTTGATGAAGTTGCGCATCTTGCTGAAGTGGATGCTCAGTTTCTCGTTCTGACACACCAGCAAGCATCCGACACGGTCAAGAGGGCTGGGGTGGGCCTCCATCGGTGTGTGGTGGTGAGGGGACGGGGCTCACCCTCAGCTCGAGCTCCTTCTTGTGCAGCTCGCGGGCCAGCTCGCTCAAACGCTGCTGGTCGCTCGCACGACGATCCTGTGTTTCCGCACACACATGACACGACACACAAGCCTTGGTCCCACGTGCCCTATGGTGTGTGTGTGGATATCTACCGTGTTGCCTGGTTTACCTCTGCCTCCTTCCTGGCGTTTTCCTTGAGTGTGAGCTCCTGCGTGTGCGCCTTGGCCACGGCCTTCTCCTCCAGCATGCGGTGACGCGCCATCTACAGGAGATATTCCGACACCGACGTGTACGTGTGTGTGTGCGTGTGCGTATCTGTGTGTGTGGGGCTGTGGGGCGGGGGAGGTGCTGACTGACCGCGTCGGACTCCTTCTCGGTCTCGAGCGCGTCCTTGGCCTTCTTCAAATGTCCTGAAGCACAGCGACACACAGACACACCACAGGCGGACAGATGTACATCGAAATGTGTGTGTGTGTGTGCGTGTGTGTGTGGTTCATACCCATGAGCCCTGCAAACATGTTTCGGTTCCGCTTCTTGAGCTTGTCGTCCATCTGCACCTTCGGCTGCACCACACAGACCGACACACACACACACACACACAGGGAGGGAGAGGGAGAGGGAGAGGGAGGGATGAGGGGCAAGTGTGTGTGTGTGTGGGATGAGGCTCATCACCCGTTCTGCGACGGGTGGTTCGTCCCTGCCATTGCGATCGCCCTGACATCGACACACAGAGAGCACGTCAGTCAGTCACATTCGTCGTCTGTCACTCATTGTCCGCGTGTGGTGTGATGTGATGTGATGTGTGTATGTTCCCACCTGTGGCTTGGGGGGAAGCGACACCGCTGCAGACATGAGGCGTACCTTGGCGTGCGGGCCGTCCTCGTCAAAGTCCTTAAGCACACACACACACACACACACAAATCATAGCAAGGATGGATGGATGGATCCACCGGCGTGTGTGTGAACAGGCACGCACCCTGCTTCTCTTGTCGCGCATGCTGGGCAGCGACGTGGTCGACAGCTCGCCCATATCACGCGGCGTCACCGTCAGCGGAGGCAAACCTGACACAGCACACAGACATACAGACATACACACAGACAGACATGCATCGCGATCGTGCCGTTCTCGTCACTGGCTCACGCACCCTCAGTCGAGCGTCCTCTCCCCACTGCAGAGAGCGGCAGCCGACCTGACACACCTGACACACAACACCCATACACACGCACACCCACTTCCACACGAGAGACACCGCATGTGCCTCACATCGTGTCCGGACTGCCAGCCTGCCTGACTGACCGGCATTGGGTCGTTTGATCCGTCTCTCCAGCTCCCGCTTCTCATTCACCAGTGCCCGCAGCTCGTTCTCCATGTCACCCACACGCGACGACGGCGCACTGCCGCCACCACCGCCGCCTGGACGCTCACGGTCCCGATTATGATCTCTCGTGAGGCCTCTATCTCGCTCTCTGTCTCTATCCCGGTCTCGTGGCGAGTAGGAAGGGCCTGCACGGTCCGCTGACACACAGAGAGAAGAAAGGGACAGCGGATGCAGGCAGGCAGGCCTGAAGGCGTGGCTCTGTCTTGGTTCCGTCTGTGTGGACGCATCAGCCCAGCTCACCCATCATGCGGCGGTCGTCATCTCTGTGTGGAGGTCCTCTGTCGCCGCCACGCTCACGATAATCACGCTCCGACATCCTTCCCGCGCATATTTGTTACACGGAAAAGACCGCCCTAAAACCATCGCTCCTTTCTTCCCTGAGAGGCAGCAGGTCGAGAACGGTGCCATGCCCTTGACTGAGCCTCGTATTGCCGTCGACGTTTTGGGCACCGGATACACAATGAGTCTGGGCGTCGACGAGAACACCACAGCCAGGGACCTGATCAGGAAGGTCGGCGGACGGACACAACGGAGATGCAGCACAGAGCTCTGTGCGTCCGTCTCTGAGCGTGTGTCGTGTTCTCCGCGTGCAGATCCACACATTCACAAGGCAACACTGTCCAGAGAGGCACTTCGAGATGGATCTCTATGTCAACATAAGGCCGGTGCTGCACGAGGACATCAAAATCAAGGACAACTGGTGAGTGACAGACAGCTGTGGTGGCACATACATACAGAAAAACACCACGACGGCAGGACAGGAGCGTATGTGTGTGCGTTTCCTGTCTGTCTGTCTGCCTCAGCGAGGATACGGATAAATCTATGGCGGTCCCTCGCACGACAACGTCAGCCACGCTGGTGCCCTCTCGGCAGTGGACGCGTTGGCGGCGGACGTACACGCCTTTGGGCGAGGATGAGTCGAGATGAAGGAGTGGGACCGGCGCAGCTGTGACCGGCCGCGTGGGAGTGAGGACACTGCCTTATGCCCGAGTCACTCGCCCATGCAGACACACAAACAGACAGACGGGGATGGGTACTCTTCTCTGTACAAGGGCTGGCTGACTGACTGACTGGCTGACTGACAAGGGGGGATGCTCAGTGCACCATAGAGTAGAGTGTGCGCATGGCATGCCCATGTGCTCTGTGACGTTTCCCTTTGACTGAGGCGCCAAGTAGTTTTTATTCGGTTCGTTCACGGGCTTTCTTTCTGCCCCCAATGCTTGCTTTATCGTGTGGGTGTATGGTGTGGTATGCGTGTCGGCTTGGCTTTATTGGATTGCATCCATCAGACAGACACAGAAAGACCATTGCTGATGTTAAGTGCATCTATCTATGCATCCATCCATCCGTGAATGCATTTCAAGGACGTGTGTGCGATGCGCACGGATGGACACCATATACCCACAGGCAGCATGCATTCTGTCACCAGCAACGTCCCGCGTTCCGTTCAGCAGCGTACACATACATGGGGCGCTCCTTCGTGTGTGAGGGTGCGACGGGCGGGTGAGTGAATGAGCCTGCTGCTGGTTGCTGGCCAGCCGATTCAGCCACCCGCCCGTGGCATCAAGAGATATGCGGTGGCCCGATGGCCGCTCCAGCCATGCGCACCGCGGCAGACTCACCCACACACACGTAGCTATATACAAGTAGGAAAAGAAGCGAGATAAAGAGCCGTCAGTCGTTGCTCTCTCTACCGTCCTAGCTATCCATCCTAATCAAACCCGTCATGTCATACCCGTCCGCTCACCCACCCCACCCACCCATAGAGTGAGCGTGAGGGAAGAGTGAGCGTGAGGGAAGAGTGAGCGTGAGGGAGGGAGTCGATCCCCTATGCTCTAGCGGGTGGCATCATATATGTAGACGAATGCACGCAAACACCATCCTCCTCTCCTGCGCACTGCACACACACACACACACACACACACACAGACAGACATACACACACAGTCCGTCGACCAATTAATTGATGGAGAGCCTGCCTTCACCTGTCTGTCACTTCCTTCTTGTGCTTCATGCTGCGGGAGCTGCAAAGAGTATCATGCACACTCCCACAGCCGCCACCCCGAGCGCAGTGCCGACGACACACACTCCACACACCGCGAGCATCGTCCCCAAGGCCTGGCAAAGGCAACAACGATGGAGGCCGATTGGAGGGCGCGGAACAGACGAATGAGCGAAAGGTGCGGCCATGACTGACCTGGATAGCCATGTTGTCCGTGGTGGAGGGCAGGGTCGGAGCGCCGGGGGAGCTGACGGGGGTGGGCCACGGCTCGGCCACGAGGGCAAACACATCCGAATCCTTACTGCAAGAAAGGAACACACAAGGTCGACCACATGTGCACGCATCTTGAGTTGTCTGACTTGCCTCGTGCTCGTGATGATCTCAGTTTCGTCCACAATCTCGCCATTGCGCGTCAGGTGCTTCACCGTCACTCTCAAAGCCTGGTTCAGCTGCACTCAGACACACAGCGAACACTCACTCTCACAGACACACAGAGGCAGAGTCTCTGCGTGCAGATGCACACCTCTTGGATGTACTGCTTGGCCGTCTTTCGGTCGTCAACGGGCAGCAGGATGGCCAGCCCTGGGACGCCGGTGGCCTCACCCGCGCGAAGCCTCAACATCTGGGTGACCGGCATGGTGGGGAAGCTGCTGGGGTAGAAAGATGGTGTCGAGATTCGTCTGTCTGCGAAGGTGGCGTGCCCGCCGCTTACCAACACAAGACAGGCGCATCTCACAGCTGAGCTTGCAGATGATTCCGATCCCTCCTTTTCTTTCTGTGAGTGTATCTGGCGGCAGATCTGTGAAGACTTGAGGCGAAACTGTCGATAGATACCTTGACGGCCGCTTCCGATGAGAAAGCTGAAAGAGAAGGTGCGGAGAGAGATGAATGTGCACACACACGGGCCATGACACAGGGCAGACAGACCTACGCACATCTGACGACCGAACAACTTATTCAGATCACTTTGTGTCTGTCCATCAGGAGCCCTTGTCGTCAGAGCATGACGATGGCGAGTCGGCGGCTGTGGATGGATCCCAGCACGACTACGGTGCCGAGGCTGCTGCCAACGCCGAGATTGCAATGGCTGTCCTCAACAACGGCACCGGCGATGAATGGTCGGCACACTCATACGTCACACATCGTCGGTTGGTGAAGCGGTCTCTCTCTCCTCGTGTGTGCATCTCATCTGCAGGAGTGGTGTGGGTGTGGGTGTGGGAAGTGCTATGAGGCCCGCACACAGGGTGGAGAAGAAAACGAGAGGCTATGACGACAGGGACCTCGGCTTCCATCCCAGGTGCGCGTGGGGGGGCTCCCAAACACACATGCGATGCGGTGCGTTCTCACCATCTCTCGTGTGAATGTGTGTGCGTGTGTTGGTGAAGGTACGACCCCCTCAAGGCCGACTCGCGTCAGTATCTGCTGCACCCCACTCCTTCTGCTTCTCCTGCCGCTGCTGATGCTGCTCAGCAGCAGCACAAGGAGCCGAAAGCCAAGAAGAGAAAGACCAAAGCGAAGAAGGAACAGGATGATGAACCGATACAACACGCCGACAAGGGCAACGAATCGACAGAGGTGAGTATGGGTCCATCCATCCGTCCATGTGCCGTCGACTCTCGACAATACTTGGCGTGGTGTGCATTGCATTCATACGTGCAGCAAGAGGCATTGGCGCCGGCACCACCAGACGCACAAGCAGCAGTGGCAGCAGCGGACACGGCCCACGTCCGTCTGGAGGTGCATCCCCTCTTCGCCTCCATGTTCAGAAAGGCCAACCAACCACACACACAGGACGACCAGCAGACAGGTACGCATACGCACATCCGCATAGGCACCTCCTCTCACTGATGCGTGTGCCCGTTGTGTGTGCAGCAGGTGATCTGAAGCAGCAGCAGGGAGCACCACGACGGCAGAAGGCCTCCCGAGAGAAGGGCGACACACAGACGCAGCCATCAGCTGCAGCTGGGTCGGGTGGCGAGCTGCAGTGGGCGGCATCCGTGTTGGGCGAGGGGGTGCTCGACGATGCTAAGGGCGAGAAACCCAAGAAAAGCCGGCACAAGAAGCCTCCTTCAGACGGGAAGAACGCTCTCACAGGTGGGCAAGGGCAGCGCCACCACCCATCCACACGCCCCTTCATCCATCCATCTGTCGGCATGATGAATGAATTGGTGTGCAGGTCGCTGGGGGTGCGCGGACCCCCCTCCCTGCCCAGTCGGCCCCCTCAACTGTCGGCCCTTCTGGCGGACTGAGAGCTTAGATGCAGTGGAGGCCCAGTGGATGGCGCGGCGCCGGGCACTCACGGCCGACTATAAGTCGAAACACAAACAGGCGCTGAGGAGCCAGAGGAACAGGGGCAAGGCTGGTGGTGGTCGTGGTGGTGGTGGTGTTGAGCCCGACTGACCCGAGTGTGAAAGAGTGTGGGGATGTTCCATGGGGGCATCGGTGGTTCATGAGAGTGACCAACAGACACACACACACACACGGATTATGCATGTGTGTATGGGTGGGTTGTCTGTCGGAAGTGAGTGATGGATCGATTGGCTGGCTGTACAAGGGTTAATGTATGTATGTATGCAAACGTCATCAACGGCACAGACAGACAGAGGCATTGGTCATGTCATGGCCTCATGGTCACATCTGTGTCATGCAGTCAATGACTACATAGAGAGAGTGTCTTGTGGTGTGGGTGGGATGATGCCGCGCACTGGTCCGTCATCGATCATCTAACGTATCAGCTGCACTGCAAACACATCGCAACCCACAAATACACAAAGGGGCCGTCGCTCCTGCCTTTCAATCTCACCTCACCTGTGTTGTGTTGTGCGTGGCGACGTGGTGCTGTATTGTCGAATCAGCCACTGCCCACCTGCACACATACCATACAGGGGCGAGCATAGCGTACCCGGTTCCGCGCAGCCAGCCAGCCAGCCAGCCAGCCAGCCAGACAGCCACGCATGAGTGTGTCGTGTGCCCGCCCCGCCACGCCCCGCCTCACCCACCCACCTGCCACACCTCCATCTCGGTGCATGTGAAGGTGGACGTCTGCGCCAGTGTGCCGCTGCTCTTCTTATTGAATCTCCCCTTGAAGCCCTCCGACAGCTCATCCCTCTCGATGGGACCCCACGCGAATGAGTGTCGTCGAACTGTTACGAGGGGGGAGGGGCCCCCGAGTAATGGGAGGCGATCGGCCAGACGGAGAGCATAGGAAAATGGCGGGCAACAAATATACACAGTTTGTCGAGAGTGATTTTTGGTCGCCTTGAGGTTGAGTGAGGTTGAGTACGTATCGCAGAAGGGCTGGACAAGAGGAGACGGCAGAGGTTTCGGCAGAATTCACGTGTGGCGCACAGAAACTGGCTTAGTTCCAAGTTTATCGTTCTGTTTGCTGAGTGCATGCGGCGAGTGTTGGGGAATAGGAAGCCTGCAATTACAAAGCCTTCGACGAGAGGAGCGATGCAATCCCCCCGGGCCTTAAAGGGCAGACGTGTAGGGATTCGAGGCAGACGATGATGCATAGGACGACGAGCGTATGTCGGTAGGACGGCAGGCATTGGTATCGGTGGGTCTTTGCAAAGGGAGACTGCGCGCTGTCATGATGCGGAGGCGTGTTATGGGGGCGTCTTGCCTCAGAAGTGGACTGACCTTTTTGTGTGGTTCAAGCTGTTTCAGTGACCGTTGTCGTCTTGTGCGGTGACTTGTGGCTCGAGAAACTTGTGTATATATATGCTCAGTCGCCCTCAAAATACGCCGGAAGATGTCCAGAGAGTACCTCAGTCTCTCACTGATTTCGCATCGTCAACGCACGTTCGACTTGCGCCTGCATCTGCGTAGGCCGCAGACGTATAGAGTAATTACGTACGGTCATCTTTGCATTGATTGATTTATCGTATTGCGTTCGCAGGATATCGATCAGATAGATCATCGGCATTCGTTGCCATGTGGTGAAGGTGAAGCCTACACAACCACACAACCGTGCGCTGCAGATGTGGATGTGTGTGTGTGTGTGTGTGTGGTGTCTTTCAGCCTTATGGAGAATGATCAGCTGTCACTGTCTAGTGGCGATTTCGTTGACGGATCGTCGGACTCGGATGATGATTTGTCGGCTGGTAACCGTCACGAGTCAGATGATGATTTTGTGCCCGAGACGTCGAACGAACCTGAGGAGTTTCAGACTGATGCGGCAGACCACGATCCTGAAGATGGGGAACAGCATGAGGAAGAGGAGCCATCTGATGAGCCAACAGCAGCGGCCGGCACTGGCAGGTCACAGCCATGTTGTCTCAATTGTGGGCTTCCTGGCCACAATTGTCGTACCTGTCCACTGGTGTGTCAATTGTGCGAGGACCCGGAATGCCCGAAGGGCCGCCGCTGCCCTAAGTTCAATCAATATCGGGCTTATCGACGCCCTGCAGTGCAACGACAGCAGCGTTCAGCAACCACCACTCGGTTCGTTCTCGACGACGCAGCAGCCAACCATGCGTTTGCAAGCGGCTGCTGTCACAATTGCGGTGGGGTGCCCATTCAAGGCTACCACATTCCGATGGTGCTATTGTCGGTGCCTTTGAGTGCTCTTCGGCATCGAATGTGGCAGGAATCGCGAAGTGGTTTCCTTGGTCGCTTCGAGAGGATGCAAAACATCCGGCAGGCCGAGTACCAGCTGTGTGAGGAGTGCGCTTGTCACCTGTCGACTATGGATGGCCATCCGGCATATCGAAGTGTGAAATGCACGAGCTGGAGTGTGATGTGGCCCGCCGTGATTGCAGATAGCATCGGCAGAGGATCGATTGCGGATGCGATGAAGGTGTTGGATCTTCCGCCGCCATCAGTCACGGCATTTTGGGCGTCTGCTGCGCAGTTTTTCGACGTGTATAGCTTCCAGCATGGCCAGAGGGTGCTTCTGTCGTCTATTGGCCTCTTCGGTGCCGTCCCGATGTAAGTGAGTGAAGTCTCGGTTGATATGATGTCCACACTGTGTCTCTATGCAGTCATCCTATGAATCGACAGTCAGTGTTTCGAGACATGACAATCGAGAGGCCAGCGGCTATCGATGCGATAGAGGGCCCCGCTCGCGACAAGTATTTGCAAGCGCGTGAGGCGTTTGACAAGCACCTTTTCGAGGTACGATATAATTTCGGGTATCCACGTTCGAGACGATGTGGGTCTGTGTGTGTGTGTGTGTGTATGTATGTGTGTGTGTCATCCAGGTGCGGTGCCCTCTGGGCTGTTGGGAGTTCATCGAGAAGACGTGGGTGCATCCTTTGGGACAAGTGTGGCATCTTGTCGATCGCAGCTACAGCGGGAAGCACACCATCGTGACGGACGGCTTTCGCACAGACTGGCTATCTTCGGATATCGACCCGCGATTCTTCTCGTGGACGGTGACGCCGTGTCTCGTTTGGGACCGCAAGTTAGGCTTGGCCTACTGTTCCTGTCACGAGCATCCAAACATGAGGGAAGTGGGCAAGAGGTTCTTCTTCCACGTCCCGAGAAACCCCTTCATGCCCGGCATCGTGACTCCTACGGATGCCGACCGCCTTGCAAGAGTCGTCGCGCAGCCTCACTACTTCAAGTCCCGGCGTGTTGGGCCAAATTGTGCTACGACGAGCATGTTGCATCTCAATGTAAAGTACGATGGTGTATCGTCCTTCAGTTTGGCGTTACGGGGCCGATTCGATCGTCGAGATCCTCGTCTCTATGCTCTGGAAGGGTCCATGTTGAGCTGCCATCGCCAGCTGCGTGAATATCATCTTGTGGATGAGGACCCTGATCACGTCTTTTGGGTCGAGGAGCAGATGGCGGGCTACAAGCGAGAGTATGCAGCCGAGTCGGCTCGCGCGGCTCGTGAGCCTTTTCATGGTGTAGAGGGCTGTGGAGGTACTTATATGCCGCTGAGCGATGCGCAAGATGACTTCACTGCCTTTATGGCCACGGACTCTATCGATGCGGACGATCGAAACCAGCCGAGACATCAGGGAGATCAGTCGGGCGCCCGGCAGAGGCAGGATGAAGGACAAGATGATGATAATGATAATGATGGTGATGCTGATCGTCCGGGCGATGTTGACAATCGACCTGATGGTCGCCGCCATCAGCCATCCCAGCGGCCCATCATCCTCAGGCCCCTGTGTCTCGTGCATCCAACGACGCCCCACGGAGCGACTGTCCGCCCTATCCCATGTCTGAATCATCCGTTTGGCGACCTCTATCTATTTGCCCGACTTGTGACAATGTCGCCAGCATTGTGGCGCTCCATGATTCAGTGTGTGAGACAGATACAGCCACCATCGAGGCCTCGCGATGGTGCGTCATTGGATTCCAACGCCCACCCATCTGCCGTCGATGTTCACGTTGGAGAGCGGCGGTGGCTGACTGACGCTGTCAAGTTTGTTACGAGCATCGTCGAAAAGCAGGCAGCGAGCAGTGTCCGGCAGCATGGGAGAGGGCGACATATGGCCACCAGCTTCCCCAATTTTACATCCGCATTCATGAACGCGCCTGGTCGACAGCCCTTTTCACCCAACATGGTCCTGAGTGGGATGATGTCTTGGGAGAGTGTGCTGAATGTGCCGTGGTTGGGTTCGCGAGGCGAGGGTGTCTCACTTGAAAGCATTCGGCATAGCCTCGGAATCAGCCTGCAGAGCCAGAGCCAGTTTTCACGCGACTTGAGGACGGCGCATTTGCAGAGCTTGCCGGCGCCGTCGGTGTTGCCGAAGGTGTTGTTTTTTATGAACAGTCAACGTCCACAAGGGGATGGTGTTTCATCGGGTGAGTCAACAATAGAGGTGATTGGTGTGGCATCTTTTCACACGACTTTGAATTCTGCAGACGCATTGGAGCGAATCGTCACGACCTTTGATTTTCGCAACCAGCAGGCCTACGATCTTGTCGGTATCGTCTCTGTGCTCCCTCGTGATGCAACTCATCGTCTAACACGTGACGAGCTGCGCTATGGAGCTGCCAGCTATCAGGCAGCAGCCCTTCTGCGGTGGGGCGCTGACCATCCTGGCTGGTGGTTTGCCAAAGACGGCCGACAGCCTCAGCGCGCATGCAGTCTCTCAGCTGAGACACAAGCCAAAGAGTGTGCCCGGCAGGTCCTTTCCTCTTGGACTACGATGATGTTTGTGCGTCGAGCTGCTCAGGTCCCGGACGACATGCTTGAGCGGCAACGGGAGCTTCTTGCTGGCCAGTCCGTCGTCAAATGTCGAGATCATGATCGTTACTTTCTCGTGGCCGTCTCCCCCAAGTCTCCGCTGCAGGAGGTGTTGTCGTGCTGCTGGCCGCCCTTCGATGCCAGTCAAGACAGTGTCCGTGTGCGCCCGGCGACTTGCAATGCCAAAGTCGTCCGCTACTCATGCCCTCACAAGTCCTTTTGGGGGAGCTCTATGGGGCGGTGTTGCCTGGTCGACCTCTGCGCAAAGCATTTCAATCAGCTGAGCACGGAAGTGGCATTCTCTGACGGCAGCGATGGCATGTCTCGGTCGATGTGTATGCGGCCACGGCCTGAGCCCCAGCCTCGTACATCGCAACCCAACACATCAGCAGCTGCACGAGCCGCCCCGCCGTCCACGCACCCAGCAGCACCCCCACCACCCGCACAAGCTGACGATTCAGGTGACGATGAAGAGGAGGCGGTCCATGCGGAGCAAGAGTGGGAGCAGATCAATCAGGCGCTGCGCCAGGAGCCTTTGGATGAGAAGCCCTTCGGTCCGCAAGACGCAGATGAGGAGGCGGAACATGCGACATGGCAGCAGCTCGTGGATGATGCGGTGACCAACGTGGGACCAGTTGACTTCGGCACCGACAGCGCCGCCAAGGACCGCTACCTAGACACCGACAGCAGTCAACATGCTCTGTATGCTGTGAGCCCGTCTGGCGATCGCATCTGGGCTCACTGCGTCTTGAACCACTATCTGAGGCTACGCCGTGTTGTCGGTGACCTCGTTCGAAAGCTTCTCGAACTCGGCAGCTATGTTCTGACTCGCACTGCACCTGTTGTCAATGGCGCACCCATTGTTATGACGCAGATCTGCCAAGCCACCTGCAGCCTCTCTTTCGGCGGGTGCGTGCGTACCATTTCCGGATGAAGGCGATGACGACCAGCTTGTTTTCGTCCTTGACCGCCTCTGACACGAACAACAGACATGGAGGGCTGGAACCCACCGTCCTTCTACATCTCCTCTTACTAAGCGCTGCACAATTGCGGATCGTTTTAACCGGCATCGTGGCGTGATGCCGTCCTGCTTCTTTCTCTTCGTCCCCCCGTTGCGAGCCTCACTCTGAACTCGCATCGCTTTTCTTCGTCTCGTTCATTGATGTATGTCCGCGCTTTTCACTCTCGTCTCTCCACTACACATCCAACGCTAGCACTGCAGATACAAGCCTGCATCATGTGGACGTAAAGGTATATGTTGGTTGGCAACAGAGATATGTAGCGAAACAGAGACACGTTAAGCTTTCGTGTGCATCCATCAGACGAACACTCACGTGTGAGTCAATACGTAACACGCAATACGAAACAGTGTCAAACACGCTAAACTTTCGTCTGCATCCATCAAACAAACACTCATGTGTGAGTCAATACGACACAGTGAAAACCAAGCGGGGGGGGAGGAAGACACAATGTCAATTCGCCCGCTGCCGTTCATCCGCCGCGAGCTCCGCCAAAGCTCGCCGCCATCCTCTTCGATCCACTGCTGGCATCTGCTGAGGTCGGCCGCCGGACCAGAGAAGGCGATGGCCAACCACAGACACGCAGCACTGCAAGCGATGCCAGAGTGTCCACTGCTGCGTGTCCACCAGCCAGACGGACTTCAGCTGTCATTCATCTCATTTGCTGTGCTGTGTGTTGTCAGGCCAGCTTGGCGCATCCTTTGTCCGGATGGCGTCTGGCGTGGCAGGAGAGGGCTCTCCAACTGAGCGTGTTTGGCCACGAGTGAGCGCCCCAGCCGAGTGCGGAGAACGGCAGTCGAGAGGTCTATCTGCCTGAGGAACGTTGCTGTGCATCTGAGGATGCCGACCTCCCTGTCTTCGTGGATGGCGTCTCGCTTCTCGCGATGGATGAAATCTATCGATTCGTTCCCTCTTGCCGGAGGGATGGGCTGCCGGCTGCTGGGCACCGTCACATCATTCCCCATCGCCTCACATCCGCCACCTCTGCGAGATCAAATGGCAGGAGCGATCGCGGCAAGAGGGAGAAAAAAGGGAAGGAAACAGGCCACCTGTTCATCTGTCAGCGAGTCGGTCGCTGAGCAACTGATTTCATCCGTGAGTCGCCGGAAGATGGGCAATAGCCACACTGCGGACAGATCTGGCGCCACCATCAATGACGAGTCACTTGATTTCCTCCACAAAGCCGACAGGGACGCCCTCCACACGTATGTATGCGAAGCACAAGCACCCGGCGATAAAAGAGCTCCATGAGCGCACTTGGGTCTGTGTATGCTGTGTGTGTGTGCAGCCGGTTTGAGGTCGGCAGCCTCAGAGCTACGGCGCATTTCCTCTGGGAAGTCGACTTCTCGCCATATGTCCTCCGCACCCGACTCAATCGCTGCCTCGTGGCCAAGGGATTGCAGGCCATCATCGCATTTGACGCTCAGCTGGAGAGTCCTCTGCTGCTGAAGGCCATCTGGCTGGTGGACACGCAGCAGTGGACCGAGGTGGTCAACGCGCTGAAGTTGGCGGCGCAGCTCGGCTTCTGCACTCTGCCGGTCACCATCAGTTTGCAAGACATCCAAAGGCACACGACCAAACAGGTGGCCGGGACGGAGGGCAGAGGCCAGGAGGGATGGCTCGATAGCTGTGTGGTGTGTCTGTTGCTGCAGGCGTATTTGGCCGAGCCGCGTGTTTTGGCGCTGTGGAAGATGATCGGTCGACACGTCGTCTTCGGCGGCAACTACGGCCGTTTTGAGCTGTTCGACCAGCAGGGCGGCGTGCGCGCCCTGCGTGACGAGCCGGGCTACGAGCTGTCCATCAATCCCCCCCTCCCCGCCACCCACCCATTCCACCCTCACACCATCAACGACAACCCGCCCGTCAGTTCCTTAATCCACCTGAAGGGGGGCAGCTGGACGTCACTACCGGACTTGGCCACTTTTGCCTCGGCGTCGGCGTTCATCATGCGCATCATCATCGCGATGGCCCTTCCAGTGGAGAATTGGGGCAAAACTCCTTGGGTTCACGGGAACCGGTACACATGACACACCACACTCAGACACACAGATCCATTTATGACGGCCTCTCCTCTTTGTGTTTGTTTCTTCAGGCATGCTCACGGCGGTGTGCTGGACGGCCCCCTCAACCACTCGCCCCACCAGCCGCCCGACGGATGCACAGCCGTCGTGGCGTTCAGGATGGACGATATGAATCCCCCTCTAGAGGGTCGCCTTCTGCTGCTGACCTCGTTCGACATGCCATTCGTCGCATGGGTCGTTCTCGTCAGCCGTGCTGACACGAACATAGGTGAGACAGAGATGGCAGGTCCTCTGTGCTGATGATTGAGCCATTGTTTGACGTGTGGTGTTTCGCTGCATACAGTGGGTGTTTGTGTTTCCACCACTGAGCCGCCAGTGAGTGGTGCATCGGATACCTTCAAGGACCGCCGGCCGACTGCCGCCCCTCTGGTGCGCGGCCTGCTGAGCAACACCATCGCAGACATGATGATCTGCCAGAAAGAGAAAACTAAAGCAGTGAAGGTGGGTGCCTGTCAGAGTGGGGTGCAATGCGTGGTCCCTCATCCATCTCTCGGGTTTGGGTGTGTATATTGTGTTGTGTGCAGCCTGCAGGCGGACGAGGCGAGCTCTCGTGACGTGTGTGTAGTGTCCCCTTAGTTGGACCGGATGAGCGTGAGAGGGGCTGTGGCTGGTGCGTCACCGAGTCTATGGATGGATGGATGGATGTCGGTGGACGCCTCATGTGTGTGTACAGATCAACCATTGCATGCATGTTTGATACACTCTACACCGTCCACAAACCAATGAGTCGAGGGGTGGATAGTTGGATGGCTGCACATGGGTTGATGGCCAGACAGACAGACAGACAGACATTTATGTCGTCATGACATGGCACGAATGAACGAATGAATGGGTCGTCAGCACATGCACCGTAGACATGCAGGCAAATCCATACACTCAGTCCGTCAAAGAATGGCATGTGACTACTTACTACTTTGAGAGAGCGGTTGGGCCTCTGCTCTGCTCTGTGCGATCACCTCAACACATCCACTACCTAAACCACACCAACACAGACACACAGGAAACAGTGAGGGTATCACCGTCAGTCACGAGTGCCCTGCTCTTTTGCATACCTGCTGCGCCCGTGGTGTCTTCGACGTTAGGTATGGTCAGCCGGTGGAAATCTGCACATCCATCCATCCATCCACAGACACGCGGATCGACACTTCCACACAGATGAGTGTGTGGTGACGGCCACCCACCTGCCAGATTTCCATCTCATCGCACGTGAAGGTCTCGGACTTCGCCAATGTGCCGTTGCCCGTGCTGTCCCTCCGTCCCCTGTACCCCTCCGAAAGGCACTCCTTATTGATGCCCTGGTGGCACCGACTGAGGTCGGCCGCCGGACCAGGCTGGCCCCACCCCAACCACAGGTGCCCGCAAGCGATGCCACCCATGGCCACTTTCGCACGGTAGTCCATATTGTGGGCCTTCACCACCCCCTGTGTGCCGGCCACCCCCACCGACTGCCTCCTCTCGGGCAGCTCGATCTTCGTCGGCGTCTCGTACGCACCCGACAGTGCATAGAAGAAGACGGGCGCCTTGTAGATGTTGGCCTTCGTGGGGTCCTTGGGCGGGTCGAGTGGGCTGTCGATGAAGCAGCCAAATCGGTGTGCGTCGCCATCTCGGAGGGCAAAGAGGAGGCCGCTCTTGCCCGCCACGCACTCGAGCATCTTAGGGAAGGCATACGTGTCGCGACTACCCCTGACGGACGACACACAACACACACACAGAGACCCGAAGGCAGATCTTTCAGGGCCCCCTCGTTGCTGTCTGTGTGTGTGGCTCGCTGACTTGTATACGAGTGACGGCATTGGTGAGGTCTTGCCCGTCATCTTGAGCAGCTCCGCCATCTCGTCGTCAGTCTCGATGACGAAGCCGCCCCCCGCCACGCCGCTGAAGAAGGGCTCGTACTTCAGCCCATACATCTCAGTGTCGCCCTGTATCTGCCTGCAGTTGCTCGCCGTCGGTGACTTGACGATGCTGCCGGGCGGTGCGCACCGCCGTCTGCGGGCGAAGTCGATCACCTTCATGAGATGGTTGGGGCGGATGCACGACACACTCGAACCGCTGCAAGGAGGATGGGAAGGACGTACTTATGACGATTGTCCCTTTGGCTCGCTTGTGGTGTGTTGCCCACCTGTGGAAGGTTGTGTAGAGTCGTTTGTCGCGGCCAACACGCGCCAGTGTGGCCGCAGTGGTCGACACTGTCTTGTCCAGGACGCGCACACTCCTTATCTCGTCCACCCCTCCTCCCTGCCCCCCCTCCTCAGTGGCCAGCAGCGGCTTGACGGTCTTGTGGAAGTTGGCCAGGCCGCGCTGCACCTCGCCCAGCCGCCCCACTGACGCATCCAGGCTTGCAGTGCTGCTCTTGACTGTCGCCATGTGGTCGCCCTCCTCACCCTCCTTTCCCTCATCTTCATCGTCTTCCTCGCCCTCCTCGCCCTCCTCCTCCTCGCTCTCCAGCTCCAGTGCATCGAGTTGCATGTGGTCGTCATCGTTGGTGTGCGCGGCCGTTTCCGCGGGTGCGTCGATGTCGAGGCCGGTCTTGGTTGTGAAGAGGAGATGGTGCCAGAAGAGGGATGAGCTGTCGGTGTCGTGTGGAGGGGTCAGGAGGATCTCGTGGCTCTCGCCCTGGGCGTCAGCAGCACCGACACCGGTGACCTCGTCACGCAACCCGGTGAATGAAAGAACAGGCAACGCACAGCATGCATTCGGCTAATTCTATGTGAGTTCATCTACCCTCTCCCCCCACTCTCGACCCACCATTCCATATACACTGGATCAGCGTTGAGGAATGGCCGGCCCTCTGCGTCCTTGGGCAGCCCATCCAGATGGTACAGCAGCAGGTATGCGATGATGCTCTCACTCACGCCGGGCAGCAGCAGAGGCTTGCGCGGCACACACAGCACCGTCCCGCCCACATTGATCTCGATCTCCCCATCCAGTCGCCCCGTCACCATCAGCTGCCCTCCATTCCTCGTGATTAGGTCCTTGATCGTCTTGGCTTGCTGCCGCAGCTTCTTGCGCATCTGTTTGGCTGATTTCTGTATGGCGGCGAGTGCCTCATCGGCCTCCTGCAGCTCTCTATCAATGGTCGGGCGACAGATGGACGGGAGGGGCTCAAAGTCATCGCTGCCGTCCGCAGGCGACTCGGGCGACTCCTGCGCCTTGCGCTTCTTCGCAAACATGGTGAACTTAAACGCGCCGAAGGAGAAGGTCACCGGCGGGAGCGGTTCACCAAAGGATCGGAGGTCGAGAGAAACAGAACAGCCGTTGAAAAAGATGTCGATATCTGACGTGTACAGAGAGATAGACAGGGCGCTTGACCTGCTCAACCATATCATCGACCGCAATGGACATCACAACCAAGAAAGATGGGTACTAAGCAACGGAGAAAACATACAGGCAAAGCAGCCGACCACTCACCGCCTCCCTTTCGCTGCCTGCTGGCTGATACTGCTGCAGTAACCCACCGTTCCATCGACGCATTTTACGTCCCTTCCCCTCCCAGGCCGCAGCCCCTTCTGCTGCCCAACCACGTGCACGACACACAGGGCCGCAACGTCGGTGACATCGGCTGCAATGTGGAGCACCTGAACCATCTCCTGTGGCAGCTGAGAGAGGGGGGAGGGGAGAGGGCTGAGCACAAGTCAGCTGTGTGGTCCCCCTCTTATCATGGGAGGAGGCCGGTTGCAAGCGTGGAGATGGGTGTGGGTGGGGCTGCAAGTGCTTTGCAGTCTTATGTGGATGGGTATCGTGAGCAGCTGGCTGTGCTGGAGGAGTGGCATCGGCCACAGGAGGGCAGCAGCAGGGAGGGAGAAGACAGGGCGGGCGAGGAAAACAAGAGGGACACTCAGTGACCTGTCAGTGGCCTTGTGTATGTGATTTGTTCATTGTGTCTCTCTGGTCAGTAGCCATGGATGTAATTGACCTATGTACCTATGAATGTATGTATGTATGTCTGCATTAAGCAATCATGCATATCATGACCTATGCATCCATCCATCCATCCATCCATATGACTCTACACGGACCAGTCGCTCATATCTACCCATCTACCCACATTACTGCTTTGTCTTGACGTGTCTCTTGGCCCACGTGATCACGTGCTCGAAGAACTGGACTTGCGCAGAAGTCCCGCAAGGAGGCACCATCTTGATGCCGTTCTTGTCCATCAGGGCGTGAGGGTCCTGGCAGAATTCCCTCCCCAAGTTGATGATGTTGGTGTCTTTGTTGTTTTTGCTCTTTGCGTGTGCGTTGATGGCCCCGTAGCACGATATCCGGGGGTTGTTGATGAGGTTCCCCAGCTCTTCGTCTTTCATGGCGTTTTTCACCGCCTGCGTTGCACCGGTCATGTGTATGTCATGACACACACCATGAGACAGACAAGTACATGCATGCACCATCCATTTTCACGGGTGGCTCACTTACTTCCCGCCGAGTTCCATCGCGTCCTCGCCTCTCCTGTATGTTCTGCAGGGGCACTCAGCGGACTGCGAAATAGGGCCTCCGGTGTGTGGCGCGCCAGGGAACAGGGCGTAAGAAAGGTCAATCTGCCCAGACAGATGTGCATGCAGGTATCAATCAATACGTTGTGTGTGTACGGATGCGCCCATCTTTGTGTCTCCTACGAGGGCGAGATCGCCGGCCTTTGGAGGATAGAAGCCCACCAGCTGCAACGGTCAATATGGGCGGACACGAGTGCCTCTGCTGCTCACTGAGAGACACGCCCCGGCCCACCGGCCCACCTGTTCTCCGCTTGGAGTCTTCAGCTTGACTGCATATCTGTTTGGGTCGTTCGCCGGCCCTCTCGCCCCCTTGCGAAAAAACAGCACGTTGCCGTCCTGACATGAATGCATAGACATACAGACACCCCGTCTCTGCCCTGTTCTGTGTCGTAGTCGTGTGAGTGTGCCTCTCGTACATGCATGTCGCAGTGGTGGAAGTTGACACTCTGCAGCTGCAGCCCGGCCTGAGCGTATGCCATCGCCAGATATGCACCCTGGGGAATCGTGTCTCCACTCTGAATCGAATGGAATCGACGCATGGCATTAATGCGACAATGCGTATGCGTGATTAGGCCGGTCGCTCACATCTGAGATGGTGAGAGGGTTGTTGGCTTCGGCTGATGGCATCCCGCTTGTCAGTATACGGTATCTTATGGCATCCAGCTTCTCAAGCTCAGGAAATCTGACAAACACCAATAGCAGACACACACAGTACAGCAACATCGCACCTCGTCTCTTCTTCCTCACTTGTGAGCAGCTCCCCCTTGCCGCTCCGTCGGATCATATACACTCTTGGAACCCGTGGGAAGTTGCCTGAGGCATAGGCTGCGCCAATGGATTTGATGGCTGCGGGCCTGCCGGCGTCGGTGTCCGTGAGGATCTCCCAGAGCTTCTGGTAGTCTGCCATTCAGAGAAGGACCGTAGGGATGTGCTCGGTGTTGACATACGTGGGTTTAGACATATATGCATCTGTGCGTGCACACTTCTCTTCTCGTCGTTGAGCGCCTTTCTCATTTGGGCGATCTTGTTTTTCCCTGTTGCGAGGTCGTTCTCGGACAGCTCTGCTCGCAACAAATGAGAGAGGCACAACACATGGGCGTACGATTGTGTGCTTGCTGTGTGCCGGCTGCGTGCCTACGAGTGGTCATCGATCGGTGGGCGTCTGAATAGCTCATGGTGTAGGTGGTTCCTACATAATGCAGACAGATGCATTGCATGCACAGCGATCTCTCCAATTTGATTCGTTTATGACCTTTGGTCTTATTTCGGTACTCTCGAGACACACACAGCAGAGACACAATCAGAGAGAGGGAGACACAGCACCTCTGGGTTCTCCGTCCGTGTGTATGCGTGTGCTCACCTTTGTTCTCCCTTTTGAAGGTTGCATTGTCGCCCAGCACACCCTTGAGAGCCACCTCGACATCCTGCGCCACAACACCTCCCACAAGCGAGTACTTCTCCATCAGCGTATAGCCCGGTGTCCCTGCAGCAACAAAACCGCACACCCATTCCAGAAGGAGGAAACACGCGACGGAACTTCTCGTGTCTACGCACCATGCTTGAGGGTGCAGAAGAGGACGAAGCCAGAGGCGCCGGACAAGAACTGGATGTTGTGCCTTATCTTGTCGATGACGAGGGATATGGTGGATATTCTGTCTTTCTCCGCCTTCTTCCTCAGGGTGACCGTCATACTGGTCGCCAGAGCGGCACGATGTCTCTTCCAAAAGGGGTCGAGCGTCTTGGTGTCCGTGGCCATGTCTGCATGTGGAGAGCGAGAAGGGGAGAGAGACATGATGCGTGTGGGAGGCACACTGTCAGGCAGTCGGTGACTTACCCTGAATGTGACAAAGGACAAATTCCATCCTGTGAGGATGATCATCATATACAGCAACAAGGTGAGACATGACGCGAGCCCCAATCGTCTCTCTGTTTACCCGCAGATATCCTTGATGAATTCATCAAAGTGCTCGTCTGGGTGGAAGTACAGCTCCTCCTTTTTTTCGCCACTCGTCACACCAGCCCGGGCGGCCGAATGGTTCGCAGCACGCATCGACCACGAAGACCGGGTGAGGCGTAAGCTCATCTTTCTTCTCCGCAATGCCATGGCTGGAGAGAGGAGGGCGGCGGACAGGAAGAGAAGGAACTTCAAGACGAGGTGCGGCATTGAGGTGGTGGGATGACAGGAGATGGTCGCCTATGATTTTGATGGGTCAACTACCACAATGTGGGAGAGACGGGAAGGCGGGTCTTGGGGGCGTGGGGGGCGTCTGGCTCGCCGTCTTAGGGGAGTTCCCCATCCCGAAGATTATGTAATGAGCCCTCTTCTGTCCTCCCACGAGTAATGAGTTCGCCACCAGCTGGCTCTACGGCAATGCATCTGTCCGTCATCCTTCGCTTCACCGCCTTTTTGATGGCCGTCACACACTGCCATGCACTCTTCCCGCCGCCACTGCAAAGAGCCTCCAACACGACTCATCTTCACCCATATCGGCTCTCTCCTTCCCAGCGGACGGCCTTTGTGATGCTCGGCACGAGGAGGCGCCTGCACAGAGGGCCGTTCAAAGGCCGGGACCAAGGCATATTCCACCGGAGGCCTATTGTCGAGGGCGACACATTCAAGGACTGTAAGCTAGCCCTGTCCGCATGTGCCATATGAATGCATTGTGTGTTGTCTTCCTTGTGTTTTTGTGCCCGCAGGTGAGTACTACATGCCGAATAAGTGCGACCCCGAGTCCAGAGAGGCGCCATGCACGTAATGACGGACGGATGGATCGATGGATGCCAGGCTATGTGGCAAAGCCCTTCCTCCCTCCTTCTCCCTATATGTCTCTCTCTGGATGCTTGTTTCAGCGCGTGTTGGTCGACGTGTGCAAAGACTGCCGACTGCAAGTCGCACATGGTGCTGTCCAACCCAAAGGAGTGGAAACTCGTACCAGACGCCAAATACGTGAGCCAAAACCAAACCACCTCCAGGATGCACATGACATGCGGTTGCCCTCATCTCCATCCCCGTTATCATGCATGTTTCTCTCCATGCATCCATCAGTCGAAGACTTGCGGCAGTCCGTTCCAGAACAAGTTCCGCACTCTCTGCGTCACCGAGGCATGTGACCCAGAAAAGGACAACTGCGGGGTATGGCAGTGGATCCCCCCGACACAACACACACACACTGGACATCCACTCACTCGTCCACGAACACCTGTCTCTCCCTTGTTTAACAGGGCCCGGTGACTCGCGAGGCGCGCGAGAGGGAAGAGTCTGATGAGGAAGAAACGAAGGCAGTCAAGGAGAAGACAGCGGGGGGCAAGAAGAAGGAGGAGGGCTTCAACATGACACCCATCTACATCGGGGTGGGCGTGATCGTGATCGTCTTCCTTGTTGGCGTCATCTTCCTCTTTAGAGGCTGAGCTGAGCTGACGGACATACATAGAGGCAGGCTATGTGTGATGTAGGGCATTATGCAGTCAGTAATCAATCAATGAGGAATCCTGTTTACGGTCCGTCTCGCTATATATGTTCATGGACACATCGATACACACGAATCACGCATCGGGCTTGCTCGTGTCTGCATCGGGCACTGGGGGCTTCTCGGGCATGGCCATCAAGAAGGTCTGCTCACCTGACGCACACAAAAGAAAGAACACACATGCTTGCACGCGGCTGCGTGGCCCATGAATCCACCCACTCACCAAGAATGGGGTTGAATCCGGCGTGATTCCTGTAGGCTAGATTGGTCGCACGGACCTTCTCGCGATACTGCATACGGCCGGCCACAGAAAAGCATGCCGGACTGCTCTCTTTCGCCTGTGGGGAGTGCACTCGATCCACTCACTCACCTGCGCCATCAGGTCGGCATGCTGCAACCTCCGGCCCTCCTCACTTTGGTCATAACGCAATGTGACGATATCGAACGGCGCCCTGAGTTGAAATACGGACGCACACACGGGAATATTGTGGCCGTGTCTCCCTCCCTCTGTTGCTGTCTGCTGGGCTCACCCACCCCGATCTGTTTTTGAATGCCTTCTGTGAGTACATCTGCAGGTTCTGCACACGCTGCTTGTCACACTGCACACAACGCAGACAGACAGACAGACAGACAGGCAACCCGCACGCACATGTGCAGCAAGCAGTGCGCATCCGTGAATTCGTATGTAGGTAGCTGTGTGTGCGGACGGACCTCTTCCCTCTCCTCCATCCGTCTCCATCTCTGCTCCTCGCGGCTTTCGCGGCTCATCCTGTCGCACAGCCATACATGTACGTACAATACACTGGGGGGATGCCCTCATGTCCTCTCTCCCGGCTGGCTGCAGACAGACAGACAGCCTCACCGTACCGTCTGTTCTCGTGGAACTGGTCCCTCTTTCCTTGTTCCCTCTTCCTGTCCTCCCTCTCCAACTCGGCCACCTCAGCCGTGCGCACAAAACGATCAATGGCTGCACCGCACCAAACAGACGCATACAAATGGACGGACGGAAGTATACAGACAACTGTACACACCCGCGCATTATATATCTGATGTGCCTGCCTGCCTGCCTACGGTTGGGCAGTGTTGGGTTCTTGGGGTCGTCTTTGATGGGCTGGATCAGATTGCCCGGGTCCTCATAACGATGAAAGCCGCCTGAAGACAGAGACAACATGAAGCAAGCGGCCGACCACCTGTCCATCCATCCATAGTGTCTCACCTGTTCTGTTTCTGAGCCGTTCCTTCTCGAGGCTCTCTCTGTCGCGCAGAGCGTTCCGCTCCGCGCGAGTCCTGCAGGCAAGAGGGCAGTGCAGTGCAGTGCATGCAGACGTCCATGTGCTGTCCGTCTTTATGTCTGTCCATGTGTGCTCTTACCTCGGCTTGATCATGGCAAAAACGACGAGTGGAGAGCAACGAGAGCAACTACGGAGAGCAACGCCCCTCGAGAGGCCCCAGCAGACAACCTTCGAACCGTCAGAGACCGTTCAAAGGCCGTTCGTATGTCCCTGTGCTATCCGTCGGTGCTGGCGGCCTCTGAAGCCTCTGATCCTCTTCATCAAGCCTCTGATATTTCCCCTCTGCGAGATAAGCTCGCAAAAGCGTGTGCGAGCTTCTGAAGAGCCGCGAAGAGCGCCTTTCCTTTTTCCTTTGACAAGATGCTTCGGTCGTCACTTCGTCGCGCGATAGTGCGGCTGCCGTCAGCCATGCTGGGCAGCGCCGGGCCGCCCGCTGCCAAACTCGCCGCCATACAGGTATGTAGGCAGATGCATAGATGCAGCAGACGGGCTGCTGAGTCTGTGGTGGTCTGCTGTTTGATTCACGCAGTGCGGCAGCCGGTGTTTTTCGGCTGCCGCCGGCGGGAAGATCAAGGTGGCAAACAAAGTGGTCGAAATGGACGGAGATGGTACGACGCACAGAGATCTGGAGGCAAAGACAAACAAAGAATATGATGCATGTGCATTTGGTTGTGTGTGTGTGTGTTTGTATCTGTGTGTGTGTGTTTGTGTCTGTTTCTCCAGAGATGACCCGTATATTGTGGGCGTGGATCAAGGACAAGCTGATCTTCCCCTACGTGGACCTCCCAATCGCCTACTACGACCTCGGCATCGAAGAGAGAGACAGGTGCAGTGCCCACAGACAGACAGTCAGACACACGCAGCACAGCACATCCATGGAATGCAATGCGTCTGTTGTGTGTAGGACGAACGACAAGGTGACGATTGAGTGTGCGGAGGCCATCCAGGAGCACAACGTGGGCATCAAGTGCGCCACCATCACACCAGACCAGGTGGGTATCCACACACCCACAGCACACCCACAGCACACCCACACACACATGAATGCGTTCAGGCCCGTGTGGAGGAGTTTAAGCTCAAAGAGATGTGGAAGAGCCCCAACGGCACCATACGGTAGGTGCACAACACACACACACATACACACGCGCGCACACCGAGGGCGAGAGAGGGACGTGTGTGTTCGTGCCGTGATGTGTGTGTGTGTGTGTGTGTGTGTGCAGCAACATGTTGGACGGGACGGTGTTTCGGGCCCCAATCATCATCAGCAACGTCCCACGACTGGTCGGTATACACACACACACACACACGTGACCGTACACATGGCATGGACGCCCATCTGCATCTGTGTGCATCTCTCCGTGAGTCGATTGTGTGTAGGTCCCGGGCTGGAAGAAGCCCATCATCATCGGCCGCCACGCACACGCAGACCAGTACAAGAACAAGTCACTGGTAGGCCTTAAGGAAGGAAGTGGACATGAAATGAACGGTCCATCAATCCACTGCACGTCGACAAGCCAAGCGGATGTGTGATGGTGTTTGGTGTGTGTGCTGTGTCCAGGTCATTGAGGAGCCCGGCACTTTCGAGATCTGCTTCACGCCCAAAGGTGCGCCTGCACGCCGTTCTTGCAGGACGCGCAGAAGGATGTGTGTGTGTGTGTGCAGGTTCGACTGAGCGCAAGTGCCGCACCGTCTTCGACTTCAACGGACGGGGTGAGGTACACACACACGTCAGGTTGATGAGCGGCCGTCTAGATCGACACACACACAAATACCTGTCTGTCTGTCTGTGTGTATGTGGTGTGATGACTGCAGGTGTGGCCCTGGGCATGTACAACACGGAGAAGAGCATCCGGGGCTTCGCCTACGCATGCTTCCAATATGCACTCGCACAAGTGAGCGGAGCGGAGCGGAGCGGAGCTGGTTGGGGTCGGGCATCCCTCCCACCCATCCACACGTGTCAATCTTTCCCAATCTCTCTCTCTCTCTCTCTCTGCGTGTGTGTGTTTGTGCCTCTCAGGGGATGCCTCTGTATATGTCGACAAAGAATACGATCCTCAAGAAGTACGACGGCATGTTCAAAGACGTATTCAACGAAATCTATGAGAAGGAGTTCAAACAGGTCAGACAGCGCAGCGCCCAGCCGCACACACCCCAATAGACCTTTTTGTGCATTTTTCCTCTCGTTCGTGTGTTGTGTGCAGCAATTCGAGAAGGCGGGCCTCTGGTATGAGCACCGTCTCATCGACGACATGGTACACACACACACACACACACACATGCTCATCCACGGCTGACCCATCGGTCCATCGAATCGATCGCGCGCATGATGAGCAATCATTTTAATCATTCGCTCCGACACACACACGTGTACACGTGACGACACAAGCTCGAGAGAGCGATCCCCTAAACTGAGCCAGCGATCCCCACACACACACACACACACACTCGCACAAGCCACTCACCCACGTGTCCATCCTTGTGTGTGTGTTTTGATGAGTGCAGGTGGCCCAGGCGCTCAAGAGTGAGGGCGGCTTTGTGTGGGCGTGCAAGAACTATGACGGAGACGTGCAGAGCGACATCGTCGCACAGGCACACACACACACACACACAGACACATTCTCGTGTGTGACACCCCTTGATGGACACGTGTATATGTATGTGTGTGTGTGTGTGTCAGGGATACGGCTCGTTGGGTCTGATGACGTCCGTGTTGGTGTGTCCCGACGGCAAGACAGTGGTGGCAGAAGCAGCACACGGCACCGGTTGGCACACAGACAAACCACACACACATACACACATATCTGTCCCCCTCTGTCTGTATGTGTGTGTGTGTGTGTCAGTAACCCGCCACTACCGTGCGCATCAGCGAGGCGAGAAGACGTCCACCAACCCAATCGCCAGCATATTCGCCTGGAGCAGAGGGCTCGCACAGAGGTTGGTAGGTGGGCAGCGGTGGGACGTGACGGCCAACCAGTGTGTGTGTGTGGTGCAGAGCCAAGTTGGACAACAACCCCGCCCTTGAGCACTACTGCCTCGCGCTAGAGAAGGTATGAGTGGATGAGTGGATGGATGGCTGGACACCCATATATATGGTGCACTCGTGTCGTGTGTCAATGATAGGCGTGCATCGACACGGTGGAGGCCGACCAGATGCCCAAGGACCTCAGAGTCTGCATCAAGGGCACCACCAAAGTCGACGTCAGTAACCTCTCCCCGCACTTCCCCATCCACACACACACACTCACATTCACACGCCCATCCCTCTCTCTCTCTTTCTTTCTCTCTGTGTGTGTCTGTCTGTGTGTGTGTGTGTGTGTCAGCCGTCCGAGTATCTGCTCTCAGAGGAGTTCATCGACGCCATCGCAGCCAAGCTGTCAGACATACTCAAGAAACCACTGCCGTAAGAGCCCCACAGACAGACACACAGACACACACACAAGTTGATGTGTGTGTGTGTGTGTGTGTGATGGTGTGTGCAGCAAGCCGACGCCGGGAGAGCCGAGCAAGTTGGAGAACGCCAATTGGGACCACTACGCCGCTTACGAAAACGAAACAGCAGAACAGGTGTGTGTGTGAAGGGATGCAATGCGGGTGTGGACACTGTGGACATCCATCCATCCATCCAATGCATTGGATGTGTGTGTATGTGTGTGTGTGTGTGTGCTGCGCTCAGGTGTTCGGCGACGTTGAGAAGAACACCGAGAAGTGACGTATTATCCATCCTTGGGGCTGTCGGGGCGCGTTTGTGAGTGTGTGTGTCTGTGTGTATGCCTGTATGTCCCGTAGGCAGTAGGTAGCGACCCGACCACCAGCAGCCAGCCACATCACACCACACCACACCCCCAGCCGCCACACCTTGTGTGTGTTGTGCTCACTGACGATTTTCGTTCATTCCTTCCTCCATTATCCGCCATCTGTGCATCTATCCTCCGGTTTGGTTGTCATCGTGTGTGATACGTGCGCCTTGGTGCATCTCTGCTCGGTGTGCCCATCATCTTGGGGTAGTGGACGGCCGTTTCGTTGCAGTGAGAGCTGCTGACGGGGCGCACGTCCACTGCTGGCGGATGATGGGCACTCAGGGCACCGCACACCCACAGACAGACAGACAGACAGACAGACAGGGTAAGCCAGGTTTGACGTATACATGCTTCACTTGCTGTGCCTTGCAAACGTATTCATCGGCTCAGGTGTGCTTGCTTGGTGCTTCGAGTACCGCCAGCAGACGGCCGGTTCACTGCCAGTCGATTGGTCCATGAACCTCACGTATGCTGGGGGTCGGCGGAAGCACGAGCAAACACACACACACGAGCCAGCCACACAGCAGACAGACAGCATTGACATCCCCTTGCACAGTTTTTTCGGTGCACGCGACGCCATGGAACGCAGTTTTGACGGCACGTGTGTGTGTTGGGTTGGGTTGGGTTGTTGTGTGTTTTCGTCCCGTTTTCGTTCCCTCTCTCCCTGTGCCTGCCTGCCTGCCTGCCTGAATGGCTGGCTGGCTGGCTGGCTGGATGGATGGATGGATGGATGGATTGGCGGTATTTGTGGTGGCCTCCTGACATACCAGCCCCTCGATGAGTGTGTGTCTGCCTCCGGTGCCCCGGTAAATGTCGATATGATGCGGCCTGCCTGCTTGCTTACCTGACAATTACGGATGTGTGTGTGTATGTGTATGTGTGAGGGCATCTTATGGACGGATGTGTGTCTATCTTGGTGGCTGCGGTTGTCCATCAGACATGGCACTGTGATGCACGGTCAGATCTCCCATGCGGATGATAGGATGCACGGCTCATTTCAGCTGTGCGTCCCTTCGTCTGCAACGGCGATCTCACCGGCATCACAGTGACTGCCAAGGACAGACCAATGAGACCATCGGCAATCAATCGCGTGATGCCCATGCATGCCCATCCCAAGCAAACAGTTTCACCGTTTAACCCAACGCCTGAGAATCCGCAAAACCGTTGAGCGAGGAAGCGAGCTCACGAGAGATTTCGCTTCACCTTGCACGGCCGTGCATCCCTCCAGGCATCCCCACATCGCCTCGGCGGCTCGCCGATCCGCCTCGACGCCGCAGGAGCGCCTCCTTCTGATCGCTAATCGCAGGTGAGCGCAGGAGAGGGCGTGAGGGTGCCGCTGTGGGCTGCTGTGGGTGGCTGTGGCGTGTGGAGGGTGTGGCGTGGTCGAGGGGGGAGCCGTGTCTCTTCTGGCGTGGTGTCGGTTGTTGTGCGTTACTTGCCGTTTGGTGACGGTTGAGAGAGTCTCGGTTGGTTGACGCTGCTGAGCTCGGTTGTGTGTGTGCCTGGATGTGATGTGTGTGCTGGGGAATGGGAGGCTCACCTGTGTTGTGTTGGTTTGGTGTCCTGTTAGGTGTGTGTTTCCTGTCTGTCAAGTTTCTTTGTTGGTTGCCGTTGGTTATCGTAGCTGCTTCGAGTTGATTGATTGAAGGAGAGTTGTTGTTGAGTTGAGAGGAGATGAGTACCGGTCAGTCAGCTGACAGGCGCACACACCACATATATATCGCCTGTCTGTCTGTCTGGATGTGGCCGTGTGTGTGTGTGTGCAGGTGAAGACCAGACGCCCGACAGTGACCACCATCACCTCCCTCTCCACCCCCACCACCACCATGATGGTCTGCCGTTCCTGCCCAGCCAGCTCTCTATGATGCCTGACGGATACACCGGTAAGTAAAACACCACACCACGATCACAATCACAATCACACACATCCGTTGTGCATCTTCTGTGTTGATGTGCGCCATGCACGCACCCACACACGCAGATCTGCCCCCGATTGCCGCGCCATCGCCGTCGCTCAGGTACTAGCGGGCACCGGACACGCACAGAATGCCTGTGACCACACAGATTGTGCATGTGGATGGCGTCCATCTCGTATAGGGACTTCACTCGTGGTGCGTGGACGGCCGAGGAGGATGCGACGCTGGCCGGACTCGTCCAGACCCTCGGGGCGCGCAAGTGGAGCGAGATCGCCAAACGAATGCCCGGTGCGGACAAGGGAGCGTTTCTGCCTTTCAATGCATTGCTCCCATCCCTGGATCTCTCTCTCTCTCTCTGTGTGTGTGTGTGTGGTCAGGTCGTATAGGCAAGCAGTGCCGTGAGCGTTGGCACAACCACCTCAACCCCAATGTCAAGAAGGAGCAGGTGCGCCAGGCAGCCAGCGAGAAGAAGCACATCCAGCCAGCCATCCAATCATCCATCCTTTTCGTGTTCTGATGTCCGACTGGTTGCGTGTGTGTGTGTGGTGTGTATTGTATTGTATTGTATTGTGTGGTCAGTGGTCGGAGGAAGAGGACGTCCACCTGATGGAGCTGCACGCCAGGCTCGGCAACAAATGGTACGGACGCCACACACACACACACACACAGACACGTGTGTGCGATGGATCTATGTGTGTGTGTGTGTGTGTGTATGCCTCGGTCGGGGATCCATCCACCAGGGCGGAGATATCGCGTCACTTCGACGGGCGCACCGACAACAATGTCAAGAACAGATGGAACAGCACACTCAAGTAACCCCACACACACACCAGCACCCACACAAACACGCCCACGATTCTTTCTTGGCTCATCATCCACGCGTCCGTCGATGCGATGCAGGCGTAAGGTGGCGTCGCTCTTCAACGATCCCGACAACCCCAAGCACTCCAGGGTCCGTCCATCCAGCCAGCCAGCAATCCAGCCATCCAGAGCATCCAGACATCTCGTGTGGACACGTGTGTGTGTGTGTGTCTCATTTCAATCATCGTTCGTCGTTATCTGTCTGCAGGCGCTGCGTGAGGCCTGGCCCCGTGTGAAGGACCTCTATGAGGGACGGGTGAGCGTAGCGACCAGCCAACACCTGACCTGCACACCAACACACGTGACGTAGCAACATCCATCACGGTGCAATCAGTGCATTCATGTGTGTGTGTGTGAATGTCTGCAGGGCTGCACCGAGTCGTATTTCTCGGACTTCGTTGACCCGGCCAAAGGCGGCGCTGAACGGGCAGTCGTTCCCTCTGAGGTGCGCACTTTCATTCCCCTCCCCCACCCCCACCCTCCCCCGACCCTCTCCCTCTGTGTGTGCAGGGTCAGGGTCGTCCGCCGACGCGCCACCGCAACGCCAATCGCAAGAAGAAGCGCTCCGACGACAGTGACGAAGACGATGCCAGCAATAAGGGAGAGGTACGAGCACACTGACACAGAGAGGGGGAGGGAGACACACACATATGTGTGGATACGTCACGTCTTGTCTGGGCGTGCGCTGCAGGGTCTTCCGTCGCTGACGCTGCCGATCCCGTCAGTGCACTACGGTGGAGAGGAGGGCGGGGCACACGTGGCGAAGCGGCTGCAGAAGATGCAAGGAGTGGTACATGCATAACCAACCACCCCCTCTCCCCTCCACACAGCCGTCTGTGTGTCTGTCTGTGTCTGTCAGGCTGCGCATCCGTATGCTCAGTGGGGCAGCATGGTGCATCCGCCGTCGTCTGGTTCGTACGTCTTGTCTCCGGTGGCCCAGCAGAACGGCACGCCCACACCGCAGGGACACCCGTCACCATCCACTTACCACCCGTTCGCCGCCATGGTGAGTCGCCACGTGACGACAAGTGTTGTGTTATGCATGTGTGTGTGTGTGTGTGTGTGTTGCCTTGGTCAGCCGCCCCCTCTGCAGCACCAGGCGCTCATGGCTCTGCTCACCGGCCACTCGCTCTCCGCCGACACCAGCAAAGGAGGTGGGTATCCATTCACCCTTACACGCCTGCCCTGCCTGATGCACTCACCATTGATGGCGGTTCTGTGGCCCATTCGTTTATGCAGCCGCGGCTCTGCCCCCCATCGACCCCGATGCCCTGGCGCAGGCCTACCACATGGTCCTCACTGGCACCACCCAGCAGCAGCAGCAGCAGCAGGCAGCTCCTGCGCCGGCGGCCGGGAGGAGCGGCGACGGACAGACACAGACACCGCAGGGGAAAGATGAGACGTACGTGCGGATGGACACACACGTGGATGGAGGGGGACGCGGGCATATGCGCTTGTGTGTGTGTGGTGCTATGTGTGTGTCAGGATGGGCGGCGCGGCTGCGAGTAGTAGTGTGGTTGTGAAGCAGGAGCCCGTTGACGATGATGTAAGAGAGTCCCCCACTGGAGAATCTTTCATCTTTCCTTCACACACTTTCACATGTATGTGTCTGCAGGTGGCTGCCCCTGCTGCCACTGGTGCTGGTGCTGGTGGTGCCGCTGGGGGGGAGGGAGACAAGAAGGAGGAGGACAACAACGACGAGGACCAACAACCAAACAAGGACACACACAACAACACCTCCTCGCCCCAGCAAAAGCAGCGCAAGATCCCCGCCGCCACCGCCGCCAACGACCAGCAGCAGGCACAGCAGGCAGAGCAGGCAGAGGACCACACCAACGAGGAGGAGCTTTCCGAGAGGGCCAAAATGATGAGAGGTACAGTACCACACACAGGCGCCAACCCACCCCCTCCCAAAGACCCACATTTGCTGTGTACCATGTGTGTGTGCAGGAGGACTGCGTGGCGGCGCACGTGGTGGTGGTGCTGGTGGTGGTGTTGGGGGCAGTGGGGCCGGGGCGTCGGGGGACGGAGGTGCGTGTGAACAGATGGCCAACCGCCCACACACTTGTGTGTATCCCTCTGTGTGTGTGTGTGTGGACATGTATGGTAGTGTCGTATCCGGGGGAGGCGGCTGACTCAGGTGGGTGTTGGGTGTTGCACATCCATCCATCCATCCATCCGTCCATCGGTATGTATGTGTGTGTGTTCAGCGACTGCTCATCTGAAGCAGCTGTTGCTTGCATTCGGCACCCAGTTCCTGCGGTCGGGCGAGGACACTCGGGCGCCATACACGCCGCCACACCTGCTCAAGAGTAGTGACGATGATTGGTCAGTCAGTGAGAAAGAGAGAGAGAGAGGAACAGGAGAAGTGCATCAAGCTCTGTGTGCGTGTGTCCCACCCTACACACACAGGTTTGTGCAGTATCTGAAGGAGCGCGGGATTCCTCCTCAATACGTTGCCATGGTACACACACACACATACACACACCTCCCACACACAAGCAGGCAGAACACACTAATACTTACTTCCACGGTATATATCTGTGTGTGTCTGGTGTGGCCCCACACAGCGTCCCCCGACGCCCAAGAAGCGGCCCGAGGCTCAGCAGCACAAGCAGGACAGCAGTGCTAAGGACATACACAAGAAGCTCCTGAGGTGTGCACCAAACACACAACACACAAATCGATATCGGCGCATCCATGTGTAAAGACGTCTGTGTGCGTGTTGCCTTAGGTTGCTGATTGGCACGGCCAGCGAGGAGGACACCTACGAGAAGGTGCGTGTGTGTGTGTGTCTGTGCGCCAATATCCCTATGTGTGTGTGTGCGCGTGTGTGTGCAGGGTTCGCTGGAGGACACGGTCATGACGTCCATCCAGGAGCTCAACGGCAAAGTCAAAAAGGTCCGTCCACATCCTCTCTCTCTCCCTCCTCTCTAGACATACATAGTTCATTGTGTCTGTAAATGGTTGTGTCAATGTAATTAATGTGTGCAGAGCACAGGCAAGAAGAAGAAGGCCACCAAGAAGGCCGCCGCTTCCACCACACAGCAGAGGTAAATAGGGTACCCACAAATATTGTATACACACCCACCCGCGACAATGCCCACATACACGTGTGATGTGTGATGTGTGTGTGTGCAGGCGTTCGTCCAAGACCAAGAAGGGCAAGAAGCCACACCGGCAGCAGCAGCAGCAGCAGCAGGTGCGGCAGAAGGACGATGAGGAGATGGAGGCTTACATGGACGAGGGAGACGAGGTATGCACCACCCCAGCCCCACACCGACCGAGACACACACATTCTTGTACCTCCCTCCCCATGCTATGTCCTCACTCATAGGTGGACCACGAGGTGGCCCAGCTGCTTCTCCAGATGCGCAACAACAGTAAGTACCACACACTGCACACACTGACGCCCACCTGGATGTGTGTGTGTGTGTGTGTGTCTGCAGGCAGTAGGGCCAACAGGCGAGGAGGCAGCAAGGACGCAGTCGAGGTGGGCGGTGAGCACGACACACACACATCCATCCATCCATCCATGAACGGAGACATCATGCGTGCGTGTGTGTGTGTGTGTGTGTGTGTGAAGGTTGAGGGGCCCGAGGAGGTGGGGAGTCAGCAGAATAAGGAGACGGTGCTGGTGGAGGACGACAGGCACCACGACGAATGACTCACTTCTCAAGTCACCGATTGGTTGACAGACAGATCCTCACGCGCACACACCACACCACCACATCACATCACATCACATTGCACACACACACACGGGGAGGGGAAGGCAGACACAAACAGGTCCTCTCCACACCACACCACACACACGCGTACCCTCACACGTAAGCTCAGCTCGTTTATTGCATGCCACCCATCCACCCAGTGACCGATGTGATGGATGGATGGATTGACCGATTCATGTCTCCCTTCATGCCTTACTGGCGGAGCGGGGATCGCATCGTATCGGATGTGTGTGAGTGTGAGTGTGTGTGTCTGTCTGTGTGTATTGTATGTACGTATGAGTACCATTAATGAACATCTCACCATCCATCGATCGCTGGGCCGGCTGGATCGCTCGCTGGCTGGCGTGCGCTGCGCACCTGTGCATTACAATACAGGTCGGTTCGGTGGGGTGGTGGGGCTGGGGCGGGATGGATGGATGGATGGGGGCACACCAGTCAGTCAGTCAGTCAGGTCGCCTCTGACTGATGATGAATCCTTTTTCTACTTGTATGTATGTATTGTATGCATGTGGTGTGTGGGGTGGGTGTGTATCTATGGTCTGTCTGTCTGTCGGTCTGTGTGTGTGTGTGTGTCCTCTCCCTCCCCATGCACGTTTTCCTCGCTCTGTGCAAATTAAGGACGGGACGGCCGGGCGGGGCTCATCGGTGGCTGGATAGATGGATGGATGGATGGACAACGGACAAACGATGAATGTCAATTTCGGTGAAAGCTTCTCTCTGAATGAATGAAGACCTCTACACCCTCACACACGCACACCCCATCAACAGTCAAGTCACCAACAGGCTGCTGGGAGCTGTGAGTGAGATGTGCTGAGGTGCGGTGCGCTTGAGGCCGGTTGTGTTGTGTGTCGTCAGTCACGACCGCTCGTCACGCCATGCAGCCGGGAGGGGACGACTGACTCATCATCGGCCGCTGCGCCGACGGTGGTTTTTCGCTTCTTCGAACCAGCTGGCGCTGCTGCTGCGGCCGACATCGTCAATGGCCTAAGTCCAATGATGTGCAGGGTTTGAACCCTTGTGCCTCAGTAGGGTCAAATGTGCAGGGTTTCAAACCCGCCAGCAACAGCAGTGCTAGTGCAGTGCTTGCCGCTCGCTTTTCTTCCTTGTGTGCTCGTGTGCTTACCGTTGTCAAGACGGTGTTTCAAAAAAAGTGGGAAAACAGCTGCGCTGCTTCGGTGGAAAACGGAGCCGTTCAGAACGGAGGTCGCCTTCAACCTGGCCGAACCTCGCACGCCCTTTTTCAAGAAAAGAAAAAGCGAATCCATCGGTTCAGGTGACGTATCTACGGCAGGAAGAGCCCTCGGAGTGGCTGATCTGACGTCCCCTCCACCCCCTGTGTGTGCTGTGTGTGCTGTGTGTGATTTTGTCACCCACGGTGTGGTGCTGGCTGCAGGCCGCCGATAAGCAAGAGGATGACGTCGGTTCGGATGTTGCTGGCGGGTTTGTTGGGCGTGTTGGCCGTGGGCCTGCTGGGCCTTCCCCTCACCCACGGCAAGAACCTCTACACCCAGGAGCTCCACGACGACAGTGAGGGATGGATGGATGGCTAGATCTATTGATCTATGGACGTCGTGGAGGCTCTGTGTGTGGTGTGGATGGATGGATGGATGGCTGCAGCGACCATGGAGGAGCGCATGGACGCCATCAATGATATCCATAACAACCCCAGTGCCTTCGTTGAGACTGGTGCGCAGATACAAGATGCGCCAATGCCGGCCCACCACCGCCACTCGACATCCGTGCCATTCCGTGGTCTGATGAATGTGTGCATATCTGTCTGTGCGTCTGTGTGTGTGCAGGGTCCTCATCGGGTGCCCATCTGCAGGTGTCGTTGGCCGCCATCCAGCAGCAGCTGGAGCGAGGCACGGCCAGCCACAAGGCCGCCATAGCGGTGCACCAGGCTGCCATCGTCACACATCAAGAGGCCCTCAACGCCATGGAGGCCGCCGAGCAAAACATGAACGCCCTCACCGACAAAGCGACCAGCCGCGGTGTGGATGGATCATCGACATGTGTGTGTCGTGTATCTGTGTGTATCTGTGTGTGTGTGTGTGTGTGTGTCAGGGCTGTGTTCGTACAACGGCTCCGTATTCTGCAGTTTAGCCCTCAAGGGGCGAATTGTGGGATGGGGTGAATTGTGGCACCGGCTGCAAGTGCTGGAAGCACAACTGCATCGTGAGTACACATCTTTGACGACTGGCAGCGACAGACAGACAGACAGACGCGAAGGATCTCTCTCTCTCTCTCTGCGTGTGTGTGCGTGTGTGTGTGTGGTCTTCAGCCTAAAGCCGATTACGTCTTCTTCGTGGAGGAGGTCAAGACCATACGCACACACATGTCATTGTCTGTCTGTCAATGAGTGTGTCTGTGTGTGTGCAGGAGAAGTCCAAGCACCGGCGTAGGATGGATCATCGATGTGTGGTGGTGTATCTGTGTATCTGTGTGTGTGTGTGTGTGCGTGTGTGTGTGCGTCAGGGCTGTGTTCGTACAACGGCTCCGTATTCTGCAGTTTAGCCCTCAAGGGGCGAATTGTGGGATGGGGTGTTTTGTGGCACCGGCTGCAAGTGCTGGAAGCGCAACTGCATCGTAAGTACACATCTTTGATCACTGGCAGCAACAGACAGACAGACAGACAGACGCAAAGGATCTCTCTCTCTCTCTTCTGTGCGTGTGTGCGTGGTCTTCAGCCTGAGGCCTTATATTATCATTATGTTTATTATTCTACGAATACTTGAGGCGGTGAGCGCGTCTGCCGGCCGGCCCGGGCAGGTGGGTGAGAGACCAGAAACAAACAAAAAAGACAGCAGACAGACAGACAGACAGACCTCTGTCTATATATCAGCAGCGGCACAGACATACAATACAGCATCAATCCAATCCAATCCAATCAGGCGTTTGTGCGTCTGTGTCTCTGTGAGTGTGCAGGTAGATATGTAGCTGTAGCCTACACACCGACGTGGCTAGGGAGGGGGAGAGAGAGGGGAGAGAGCACTTTACTTTTTGCTGACAGCATCAGACAGACACCTCACCTGTCCGGCTACACCATTTCTTTTCAGACGGGCGGGCGGGCACACACACAGAGACAGAGAGAGAGAGAGAGATTGACACACACAGGATTTTGCAATGTGTGTGTGTGTGTGTGTGTGATTTGGGTGATCCACTGTGTGTCTGGCTGTCTGCCTGTCTGGCTGCGCATCCAAGTGTGTGTCCGTTGCGTTGGTGGAATATCCTTTGATGGACGGACCGATTCTTTGCGTGACGCCCTGTGTTCATCTGTTTAAGCGGTCCATACGGCGAGGACGAGTCAGTAGTTGAAGCGTCGACAGTCGACTCATGTCTTTCCCACAACAAACACCCCATCCACCGCCACACACACAATAAGGCGGACGATGGTCCTCCTGCAATGGTGAGCCTTTTGTCTGATGAAATGCCATTTCTCCTCAACACTCAGTGACCAACCAACAGGCCGACACCATCATGTCTCTTGAGGCCGGCATGAGTTTCGCTGCATCAGGAGCCTTGGCAGTCGGCATGTTGTGTGGGCGTCTCACCCTCTATGTGATGCCGTCGGGCCCGCTCAGCCGACCACCACCTGCACACACACACAAACACACATACACGAACAGACACGGACGGGTAAGCATAGCGCTGCCCTTTAACACACAAGCCAGCCATCAGTGTGTCGTGTCCTCTTTCCGTCCCATGGCCTGTTGAATGTGCCATGTTTCCATCGGCCGACCGAGGAGACCATCGCACACACACAGCAGACCGACACAAACAAAACCACACCAATGTATGCAATGATGGCCCATTAATGGCGTGTCTGTCTTGTCTGAGCATGTGCCTCCGTCGTGAGACGCACGTCGATGCTCTTCGTGCTGGGCGGTTGTTCGTGTGTCTGTCGCAGAGTCGTGACCTCATCGATGGCCTGGTGTCTCGAGCTGAGACGCCATGGTCAGGTGGCGATCGGCTCGTTGACACACGAAGAATGAACGACACACGCAGACAGACACACAGACACACAGACAGAATGGATGGATGGATGGAGTGAGTGAATGTCAGGCACTTTCTGGTGATCGAAGTGACGAGTCCGTCAAAGAGACAGTCAGGGCACACGCGCTGCCCTGTCAGGCCACAATGACGCACAGATAAGACGTATTGATTTGAACCTCAAGGTGTCTCAGCGGTTTTCCTGCTCCGATTGTGTGTTGTGAGTGAATGTCGGGATGTTTCTGATTGATTATCGAAGTGACGAGGCCTCAGTCGAAAAAGGTTGACACGCACACACATGATCATGTCTGCACATGGACACGAATGAGTCATCAGTCCGTCATGCTGTCGGGTCTGAGTCAGTCGCTAGGAAGCTGGCTACACACTGCCGCCATCAATCAAGCTGCAGCAATGCTCCTCCTCCCTTCGTATACACATACTACCTGCAACACACACACACACACAGAGAGAGAGAGAGGAAAGCGGCGGCTTGCCTCGTGTGTGTGATGATGTGTGCTGCAGTGTTGTGTCACCGGCCTCTGCCGCCGTCTATGTGTGCTGTCAGATCGGTTCAGCCGCTGCCCACCTGCACACAGAACACATACAGCAGCGCTACCGACAGCCAGCCAGCCATATGTGCCCTCCATGCCCCTCACACACACACCTGCCAGATCTCCATCTCATCGCACGTGAAGTCGAGGGACTGCGCTAGTCTGCCGTTGCCGCGCTTAGTGACCTCCCCTCTGTAGCCGGGCGAAAGGCCATCCGCCTTGATCCACTGGCAGCTGCTGAGGTCGGCCGCAGGACCAGGTTGAGCCCACCCCAACCAGAGGACTCCAGCAACGCGACCGATGCGGGCATTTGCACTCCAGTCCATGTTGCTTGCCTTCACCGCCCCCTGTGTGCCGGCCACCCTCACCATCTGCCACTCCTCGGGTATCTCGATCTTGGTCGGCGCGTCATACGCACCCGACAGCGAATAGAAGAAAAGGGGCACCTTGTAGCCGTTGGTCTCTGTTGGGTCGTCTGGGGGGTTGATCTCGCCGTCGATGAAGCATCCGAAGCGGTGTGTGTCGCCATCTCGGAGGGCGAAGAGCAGGCCGCTCTTGCCCTCGACGCACTCGAGCATCTTGGGGAAGGCATACGTGTCACGACTGCCCCTGACAGACGACACACACAGAAGGACAATGTGGTCTCGGCCTGTCATCTGCCTCTGGCGTGTGAGTGCTTCATCTCACTTGTACAGCAGTGATGGCGCTACAGCGATCTTCTTGTCCGTCATCTTCATCACCGCCAGCCACTCGTCGGCCGTCGTGATCACATCGGACGCTCCCGCCGCCCCAGCGAGGGGCGGCACCGTGTTGAGGCCGTACATGCCCAACTCGACGGCGAACATCTCCTTCTCGTGCGGCGCGATCACCGGCGGATGCACGAACCTGCAAGCCGGCATCACGGTCAGCCGGCGGCCGAAGTCGACGATGAGTCGGAGGAATTTGAGGGACGCCTGGCGTGCCTCCTGGTCGGGCCACTCATCGCTGGATGAACACACATACACACAGATACCAATGGCTTCTCCTTCCTCCTCTCTGCTGCCTTACGGGTTGTAACGCTTGACGAGGGCATGGTTGCGTCCGAAGGGTGCGATCGTACGGCGGAGCACCGACACGTCCTCATCGCGAACGGTCAGTGTCATCACCCCGGTCTCCTCACCGCTGCTGTCCCCCTTGACGAACGGCCGGATGGCCGCCACGAAGGCCTTCATCTCCTCCTTCTGCTTCTGCAGGCCCTCGAGCAGACTCTCGTAGCGCCTCATGTGCTCATCTATCTGCCGAAACACCCCCTTCACCCCGCCCTCCCCGTCCCCTCCCTCCCTCTGCCCCTCTTGGCCGCTCCCGTCGGCCATCTCTACATCCCGCTGCTCGCCTCCCCCGGCACCATTTGCCGATGCTGCTGCCGACGAGCCGGGTGCTCGCGGCTGCTCCTCGATCTCGATATCACCGCCCAGCTTGTTTGTGATGAACAGCGAGTGGTACTCGGAGTATGAGGGATCCTCACTCTCGGGCGAATGGATGGCGATCTCGTCCAAGTGAGGGCTCTGTAGCAGCTCCAGCTGGTCACTCAGCCAGGCGAAATAGGGCGGATGCATCTCGAGGAATGGCAGACTGTTGGCGTCCTTGGGCAGGGCGTCGATGAAGTGCAGCAGCAGGGTGGAGAGGTACGTCCGCTTCGTCTTAGGGTGCAAGAGGGCTAACACGGGAATCGACATGACAGTGCCGCCCACGTTGAGCTTGAGCTTGCCGCTGGTCTTGTGCGGCTCCACCGTGCCGCCGTTTGCGATGAAGAGCTGCTTGATCTCCGCCGCCAGCTGCTCGATTTCGCCCTCTGCCGCAGCTGCTGCCGTCTTGAACACGCCACGAAGGCCATCCATGCATCCTGCCGCCTGCTCAACCACCGCATCGACCTCCTCACGACCGCTGGTCACGCCATGCAGCCGGGAGGGGACGACTGACTCATCATCGGCCGCTTCGCCGACGGTGGTTTTCCGCTTCTTCGAACCAGCTGGCGCTGCTGCTGCGGCCGACATCGTCAATGGCCTAAGGAAATACGTTATGCTATGCAGCTGGGTTGGTTGGTTGGTTGGTTAGTGTGTTTAACGAGACTCGTGTCTGTAACCCTGGAGGGATCCTGTTGTCTCACGCACTAAACTAGCAGCATGTACATGCAAAGCATGCACACGGCCTGTCTACCCCTCCCTGCACTGGCACCGGCGGACAAACAGATGGCAGCAGAGAGCACTGGCTGCCTTGTAGAACGTTGACAAACACCGATTCCGGCTACATACACAAGAACGGGCGCTGTCGCCCAGCAAGAGCCATGGCAAGTGTACTGGGTGTGATGTGCTGGGTTGTGAACCCTTGTGCAAGGGTTTTGAACCCGATCACCCCAAGTCCCCAACCCGACCCGAGCGACTGTTGACCAACCGTCTTGACCAGGGTGAGCACACGAGCACACACACACACACACATTCCACCAATTGATCACGACAGCCGGCAGGCACGGCTCGTTGCTGATGGCGTTTCTCTCTCTGAGATGTGTGGTGTGTGCAGATGTTTCCTTTTGCCCGACGAGTGCGTCCTCTTGCCCTGAGGCGACTCGCAAGCAGCCACCTGCAGACCCTACCCACGATCGGCCGCGCCTTCTCTTCCGCCGCCGACGTGATGCCGCAACCTGGACAGCGCTTTACAATTGACGGCCCTCCGGAGGGCAAGGGGTATTATCCTATCGAGTATGCGGTGAAGCTGCCTGACCTGACGGAGAAGGAGATGAAGGAGATTTCCAGGCGACTCGGTGCCGAGTATCTCTCTGTGGCGCCATCTGCACGACAGCACAGCTACCCTCCCAAGGGCGTCCGGCACCAGGGAACCCCGTGTGTCAACCTCGTGTGTGAAGGAAGCGGGAAGCCGATTAACGTGCTCTTCGTCGTTGACACGACCGCCGTGTGGACTTATTTTACCAAGGAGGCCAGAGAGCTTCTGCACCCGGACCGTGTTATCTCGCCGCTTTTTCGGATTCGGATTGAGGATCACCTGGGCAAGGATCTGCTGATCGAGTGTGCGGACTTGTTCGGTGACTTCGAGCACATCAACATTCTGGCAACAACCGCGATGGCGAAGCTCGGGTGGTGGCCGGTCGTCGACTGGGGGAGAGGCTCGTTTGTCATGGCCCCCGTGAGTATTGGCGAGCGTCAGTGGGGGCCAGGAGTTTGGGCGGGCTGGGATGGGGAGGGTCTGCAGGTGGCTGCTCGTGAGCCCCTCACGAGCAGCAGTGCCTTGTCTTCCGCCCCGAACGTGAAGTCGCCAGCTGGACAAGTGCTTCATCGAGAGGAGAAGGTTACATCTTTCGATGGCCCTGCGGAGGGCAAGGCGCGTTATCCTCACGAGTATGCGGTGAAGCTGCCTGACCTGACGGAGGAGGACATGAAGGAGATCTCCAGGCGACTCGGTGCCGAGTATCTCTCTGTGGCGCCATATCCACGTCAGCACAGCTACCCGCCCGAGGGCGTCCTGCACGTGCCCCTCTATCGCCTGTGCGTCAACCTCGTGTGTCGCTGGGATCCCCTCCACGGGGGATTCGGGAAGCCGATTAACGTGCTCTTCGTCATCGACACGACCGCCGTGTGGTCCTACCTGAGCAAGAGGGCCATGGCTGCGCTTCTCGAGAAACCCATCGACAGCGATGCCATCGACAGCGGTGCCCTCCCGTCGACCGTGACGGTGCGGATTGAGGATCACCTGGGCAAGGATCGCCTGATCGAGTGTGCGCAGTCTTTCGGCGACTGGGAGCACATCAACATCCTGGGAACAAAAGCCATGGGGAGGCTCGGGTGGTCACCGCTCCTCGACTGGGATACGGGATTGGTAATCATGGCCCCGGTGAGGATCGGTAAGGTCCGGTGGTGGCCAGGAGTTTGGGCACAGATAGATAGCGGAAAATGGAGCTGCAGCTAGACAGTCAGCTGGAGAGCCAGGCACTCATGTGTGTGTATCATATGGCATGCGACTTCTTTATCGGTGTCCGATTGGGTGCTGCTGTGCTGCTGCTGTGCTGCTGGCCTGTTCATATAGCCTTGATGTGGCGTGTGTGGCGTGTCCATGTGTGTCGCCCTGTGCTTGGTTTGTGTTCGAGACTGTCAGTTAGGAACATTCTACTGATGAACCTTCATGGCACATTCATATAATCCATCTGTCGACTCTGTCTATCCATCATGCAATGCAGCATAGTCATTTGCATTCGATCTGCAATGCATATACACACGCCAACTGTCTGTTGCCTTTCCACCGTGCGGTCAAATGTGCAGGGTTTCCAAACCCACCGGTCACCCCAAAGATCTGCGAGAGATCATTGATGTTCGCTCCGCTTATCCCGCTGCTCTTTCCCGTCACCGCCTTTCTCTCATTCCCCTGCAATGGGCATGCCCGTCCATCACCATCCGGCTTCGTCGCCCATGCACCCGTACGTCCGTTTCGGCAGCTGCCATCTTTCCTGAGGGCGACAGGTGACCACACAGACAGCAGCAGCAGCAGCAGCGTTGTGCCACAGGCTGGTCAGAGAGGCTGGGAGGAGATCCGGAGGGGCGAGCCGCCGTCATTGCCTCTGTCGAAGCTGCCGCATGCCGACGCGGTGGACGAGGATGCCTTCTATGCGATGAATGCCTGGGAGAGAATGGCACTGGGGCTATTCAGGTCAGTCAGGGAATGAGAGAAGCCTTTCAAGAGGGTGTGGGGTGGTCATGGATTTGTGTGCGTGTGTTCAGGGAACAGGTGCAGCGGCAGATCGGCTATGCGTCGCCCATGGAGGGCTATGACGGCCTCATTGACGAAGCCAAGTGAGCCACACGGACACACAGACACACACAGACACACACGTGCCTGCCACCTGACTGAATGTGTGTCGTTCGTTCGTTTGTGTCAACAGGCACTTCATGTTGGTGCAGAATGCGACCACGTCGCTGCAGGAGGCCATGGTCCTCAACGTGCTCAGGTCCCTCTCCGGCCCCCTCCTGCCCATCTTCTTCCGCACATTCGTCGCGCCGTGGCCGTACGGACCGCTCATGACGTCAATCGTGAGCAGCCGATGTGGGTGGACCTATATCTGTGTGTGTGCGAGGGTTGTGTTGTGTGTGGTCATTCGTGTAGGTGACGCCCCTGCTGCTGTCGTTTCTCGTTGGGCCGGTGGAGGTCAACAGAAGGGAAGACGGCCGGCTGGGGGGCGTCTTGGTCAAGAGGTGCAGGTGAGCACATACACATGCCTTCGAACGGACAGACACGAAGGTCTTAAGACACAGAACTCCCTGTGTGTGTGTGGTGTCCCGTGTGTCAACCGACAGGTTTCTGGCGGCGACCAAGTGCAAGGGTCTGTGTCTGAACATGTGCAAGTCGCCCGCACAAACGTACTTTCGCGACGTACTCGGCCTCGACATGACCATGCGGTCAGTCAGTCACCCCCTCCCCCCATACGCACACACCAACACGCACACGAATACGTTCGATTCATGCGTTTGGTTCCCTCCCCTCCTCTTTGCTGTCTGCAGGCCCAACTTCGCCACGTGTGAGTGTCAGCTGTCGTTTGGCCTGGCCCCGCCGCCCATAGAGGAGGACGTGTCGGTGCCGAGCGACTGCCTGGGGCAGTGTGGGTGGAAGAGCCAGCTGATGCAGAGGCCCGGGGATAGGGAGATGATCTGCTCACGCAAGTGAGGGACGTGTGTGCGAGGGGGTGAGGGGGTCGGTTTGTTGATAGACAGACGATGGATGGATGGATGGATGTGATAAGGTAGGCACTTAGTGAATGCACAGACGGTACAGATGTGTGCAGAGAGGGACATTCATTTGAGAGATTGGTGTGTTTTTGAGTCAACCACGGCATAGGCAGCACTGCACTGCACAGCAACGCAGGTCAGTCAATGCAAGACATCGTCTGTCTACTCACATCAGCCAGCTGCCTAACCACCACCACCCGAGCTGCACACACCATGCACCACTTACACAAGACGATTAAAAGCGGTGCAAGCATTTTGTTTCCGGTCCAATGGACGTGGTCAAGCTACACCTTGTCGCCTGGATCAACGAACGAATGTCTCTCTCTGTCAGCCATCCGCCCATCAATCAAGCTTGCTACTGCTCTGCTACTCCTCTGCCGCCATCCATCCATCAGTGTGTGCGTGTGTCTACGTCTAGAGCACGTCGTCGTCCTCCTCGTCCTCGTCATGGTCGTCGATGCCACCACCAACACCACCACCACCGGGGCGCACCGGCCGCATCCCACGGCGGTCCCCACCCTGAACCGGCACCTATGTATAGGACACACACACACACAGAGTGAGAGAGGGGGAGGGGCATTCATTGTGTGTGGGGGGAGATGCGGGGGGTGTGGCTGTGTGGTGTACGTACGTCATCGCTTTCTCCCTCGTCTTCGTCGAGTAGGTCGTCCTCCTCTTCATCCTCCTCCTCTGTCGACTCGTACGGCGGGCGGCGGGCGGCCAGGCCGCCTCCTGACACACACACACACATACACATACACACACATTCACATAGAGAGTTTGTCTGTGTGTGTGTGTGGATGGGAGAGGTGGCCGGCCACACTGACTGACTGACCTGTGTGCTGTTCGTCTATGTCGTCATCCTCATCTGCTTCGTCGCTCTCGTCACTCTCTTCGCCGTACATGCTGCCTATCACCTCCCCCTACACACATATGAATGGCTGGCCGGTTGGGCATCAGACTGCCTCTTTCAGGCACGCTCTCTGGACGCACCGCACCTGTCTGCCGCCCCTCTCCCTGGGCGCCGGTCGTCGCGGCCTCTCGGCGTTCATGGCCGCTGCGGCCATTGACGGGTGGTCCTCGTCTATCGACTCATCCTGGTCAAACAAAGGCTGAGCGAACCACACCCACACACACAGAGAGAGATGTGTGTGTGTGTTGGGGAGGTGTTACCTCATTGGCGTTGATTTCGGTCTCGCCACGGAGGAGCCGCCACTCCTGCCCATCCATCCATCCATCCGTTCATGTGGGTATGTGTCTGTGAGTGGTACGACATCCATCGTGTGTGTGGCGTGGCGCACCTCCTCCCTGAGCCTCTTTTGCATCTTCTTCATGCGCCGTTCGTTCTCGTCCATACGCAGCTGCTCCTGATAGGCACACAGTCACAAGAACATTCACACATGGCGACACACGCATGGCATGCATCGAATGCATTCACTGACTGACCTGGCGGTTCATTTCGTCCAGCTCGTGCTCGAGATGGTCCAAGTTGCTGCAGCAATGCATCCATCCATCCGTCCGTCATGAAAAAGATACCGTGTGTGTGGATGTGCACACCTGATCGATTTGTGTGTGTGTGTGTGTGCGTACCGCTGTCGGTCTACGTATAGGCCGTAGTAGTGCCTCAGCTCCCTCTCGTGGCGCTCATACTCCTCCAGAAAGGCCGGACGCACCTTTACACACACACAGTCACACACACACACACACACACACACGTGTGTGGTGGTATGGTTAGGCTCACTCACTCACCCCAGCCATGTTCTGTAGCCTCTTCTCAGCTCGCTCGACGTCGGCCTGTTTCTTCTTGATCTGGCTGCGCAGGCGGGCCTCGTCCTTCTCGAGCGCAGCGCACATCGACCTGCACACGAATGCACAAACGAACGTGTTAAGCTGTTCTGATGATTAGCGGATGCTTGTCGGATGCTTATCTTACTTCATCTGCTCGAGGCTGTCTGTGTCGCTGCGCATCATCCGCTTGATGGACTTTTCTATGAAATCACGCCTGCAGCCCAGCCACACACGAGTTGTGCTGGGAGTGCGTCTGCCAGCCCTGCGCACACGCACTCACTCAGTGGTGCTATCGAGGTTTCGGCTGATGCTATCCAGGAAGGCAAGAGCCTGCACACGCACACATATTGATGTACCTCAGTCTCTCTCTGTCTTCACATAAGTGCACACCTTTTCCCTGGCCTCTCTGTTGTCGCCATCCCTCCCCAGCAAGTCGTGCAGCCGCGCACCAGACTCAACTATCTAAATGTGAAAACGCCACACACACAGAGATGCATAGCGTACACCCATACTCGCTCGTCGGGGGATGAGTTGATAGACAGACATACCTGTGAACTGAGTGCCTTTGCCGCTTTCAGGTCCGCCAACTTGCCCGCCAGCAGATGGTCGGGCGGCGCTGCGCACACAGAACATCACAAGCCAACACACACACATACACTTTGACAGATGAATGCGATTCTGGTGTGTGCCGACCTTCGGTGGATCCGCTGAGGCTGCCCGCCGGCTGTGATGGGTTGCTTGTGTCGGTGACGGCCCGCATGCCCTCGTACAGCATCCGGGCCACCTTGACCATCTCCTTAACCGCGTACATGTCCGCACCTGCACACACGAGTGACTGAGTGAGTGAGTGGCACAAGTTGGGTGCATCGCATCAATGGGGGCCGATTCGTCCGCCCGGCTGCCTGCCGACCGTATAGGCGTTTGGGGTTCATCTTGATGCGCGTCTTGACAGCTACCACCTGCACACACACACACACCACGTGTGGGTGGGTAGGTCGAACCATTCGCTGTTTTTGTTCTTCCTGTCAGGCTTGCCTCGCATATCTTCTTGACGAACTCAATCCGGTGCGGCTCGTCAGTGATGTCGTCCGGGATGCTGCACACACACACACACAGACAGAGCACCACATTGAGCGGACGTTCGTCCCTGCCCCTTTCACGTATGTGTGTGTGCGCACTTGACAGTCGGGTCCAGCCGATGGCACAGCCAATCCTGCATTCACGACACACCACACTTCACTTGCGGGCACATCTATCGCAAGGATCTGGGCGTGTGAGATAAATGACTGACTGACCATGATGTCGGCGACGAGCTCGAAGTTTGGCGTCCTGAAGTTGTCAAGGGATATCAGCCGGGGATACCCCAGGTGACGCAGGTACTCCACAAACGACCTGCATCCATCAATTGGGCGCAGTCGGAAGCAGAAGAGAACAAAAGGACGACAGCATGATATCGGCACTTTGCCGAATCTTTCTGTGTATGTTGATAGATTGATGCACCTGATCTCACGGTATGACATGGCTGCAGCGGGGGAGCTTTTCGGGGAAAGAAATTGAGGGCGGAATCGCGAGCCTTTTTGGCGAGATTTCGTATTCTCGCCTCGCGGAGACGGCGATCAGAGCCATCAATTAAAGCAGTTCACCTTCCCTCGTCGTGCATCCTCAATGGAGCATTTCCCTCACCTCTTTTTCCAATCATTTGCCCGCAACTTGAGGGCTTTCCGAACGGCAGGTGCCGCTCTTTTCATCTGCTCATTCCTCAGCAGCAGCGCTTCGTGGACCGCCTCTGGTGCAGCTGATTCGCCCGCCCCAGCCGCGGCAGGTCTGGAGGCGTCTGTAGGATTCGGTAGCGGAGGACAACTTGGCGTCTACGCAGACGACGAGTGCAGGTAAGGGAGCGACCACCAAAGGAGAACCCACCTGAGGCGACCACCAAAGGAGAACCTCACCTGAGGGAATGGTACAATTGTTAACGATAAGGTGATGAGGCACAGCCAGCCGTCCATCTGTGTGTTTTCGTGCTGATGTGCGAGATGAAGGGCCGGGACAACTTCAACGAGAAGCGCGGAAGCAGGCTGCGGCTGCGGCTGGGCTTGCAGCTGCGACCATGCTCAAGAAGCGAGGCTACGACGTGACCATCCTGGAGGCGCGTGAGAGGTGGGCCAGAAACAGAGAGAAGGGGAGGGGAGGCAGGTGCGTGCACAGACGTGTTTTGTCAAATGTGCGTTGTGTGTGATGTGGATCGATGGGTCAGGGTTGGCGGCAGGATACAGACGCAGAGATTCTCGCAGAAACGGGCCTGCCAGAGACCAACGTGAGACCTACACACGTGCCTGCACCAACATAATGCGTGTGTGTGCGTGTGTGCCGTCCATGCAGTATGACCTCGCCGCCAAACGCATGTGACTACTGTCAGACTACGTGAGTGAGAGACAAGGCTGCACATGCATAGCGCATACAGACAGTGAAAAGGACGCCAATGCGCAGATACATATGGATGCCCGTGTGTGTCAGAGATGAGATTTTTCCCCGAGACAGGGTGGGCGAGGAAAGATGGGGAGACGAAGGAACAAGGCAGCGCTTGGTATTCTTGCTTACCCCCCATGATTGAGTTGGTGATTTCTCGGCTGTTTCTCCTCCTTTTCGGATGAGCGAGCGTGTATCGGACTACACCCAACCCCCTCCACCTACCCTCATCCCGCGAGACGGCGGCGGGCCCCCCTGTTGCGCATGCAACGAGAAAGGGACGTCTGCGCTGTCCACATGCAGCCGACGATGTGACTGCCGGAATCACAAGCGCCTCTGCACTAACTGTGTCAACTGCAATGCGTGGGGGAGGGAGGGGAGGGTTTGCGGGACTGGGGTGTGCTGATGGGGCGGGGATTGATCCCTCCTCCCCTTGAGCCTGTTTGAGTCTGCGTGCTGATGGGACTGTATTTGTATGAGTATCACGGACACACAGACGAGTGTTACGGTTAATGACAGTTCCCCCCCAAACAAGGCAGCGCATGTGTGACGGTGAGTGCCCCTTCTGTTTGTGTGCAGGTCGGACACATGGGACGGTAAGAGGTGCACCGACCGCCGCAACGCTTTTCTCGTCATTTTTTGTCTCAGAGGGCCTCAAGTCTTACATTGAGGGCGTGGTGACAGGCGGCCAGATCGCCTTCGCATTGGCTCGGGAGGCAGGCACTCAGAACTGGCACGACAACATCACGAAGTGGCAGCTGCGTCTTCTGCAAACCCTGAATCCGGCACCGCTCCTCGTCACCGTCGTCGGCATCATCGCCATCGTCATCAAGATGATGATACGCATCATTTGGATGATATGAAAGGTATATGAATATGGGCATATGGTATATGGGCTTGTGTGAGCGCTTAAGGCCATGTGTGTGGTGTTTGCGCTGTGTGCAGGTTCCTCTCACACACCCGGACACAACCAGGATCTCACGGTGGTCGGTCGTCATCTGCGAGCGCACGCCGCTGCATTCGTCGCAATCAAGCTGCCTCATCGCCTGCTGCCTGCCCTCTCTCGTTTCCTCACCGAGGCTGCTGCATCCGGCTCACCCCCCCGTCCCAAGCCCCTCAGTTGTGCACTGCCAACGGCCAACCACAGCAGGCCGCCACTACGATGCCGCCCCCTCCCGAGGCGAAGCGCATCGTCCCTGCTGCTGGCGCGCCCTCATCCACCCCCACATGCTGCCGATTCTGGTGGCGGGAGTGTGGTCGGCGGCGGGATTGTATTTCCCGACCACTGAGGAATATACGCCCACCTAGTACACTTCTCCGCCCGAGACCACTACACGAATACGGTGAGAGGCAGATGTCATCGATGTCCTAATGCGTTGCATACATGAAGATGCACCGACATGAATCATTTCGTCGTCGCTTGGTTGTGGGCTTGGTTGCTTGTGTTTGTCCGGCAGCACGTGACCATTAAGCTGTGGCACTACCTGCCATTCGTCGTGCAGTATCTCAAGCAGAACGGCAACCAGATAGGAGAAACCGAAGACTGAAAGTAAGACAACCGGCACATTCACGCATAGTTCTAGTCACAAAAGCACTGTGCGGTGTTGGTGTGTTCTTTCTCTTCGATGTCAGCTACGAGTGGGTATTTGTCAATTCAATATGCCACGTAATTCTTTTGACTCAATCAATATGTCACCTGAAGTGCGGTCTATCACAGCGTGTGGGTGTCGTGTTGTGAATTGTGTGTGAGCAGGTCTGGATACCACGGCCCAGAGAGTGCGGGTAGAGGAATTTCAATCTCTGGCGGTGGTGAAGTACCTGGTGCGCAGTGGAAACATCGTGCTCGAAGACGAAGTCATCAAGAGCATCAGGCAAGGCCCCTCAAGATGTGTGCACATGTGGTCGACCTTGTATGTTCCTTTCTTGCAGTAAGGATTCGGATGTGTTTGTCGTCATGGCCAAGCCGTTGCCCACCCCCGTCAGCTCCCCCGGCGCTCCGACCCTGCCCTCTACCACGGACAACATGGCCACCCAGGTCAGTCATGGCCGCACCTTTCGCTCATTCATCCGTTCTAAACCCTCCATCGTTGTTGTCTTTGCCAGGCCTTGGAGGGCTTGACCGGGGCGCGTGCGGGACACTGATTTGGCGCGCGTACCACGACAGGAAAGCCATCGAGCCCTTCGCCACAGCGCTGGGCATGGTAAGGTTGAGAGCATGCATGGTGCTCGAGGGTTCGTGGTAAAGTCAAGCGAATCCTCTTCAAAGGCACCCTTACTCTCTCGTCTAACGTATGAGGTGTTCCACTTCGTATCGCGAAAAGATCTTCTCAAATTGTAAGAGGATGAAAAGAAGCATTCTTGATTTGTAGTCACGCTACATTTGTGTGTGTCTGTGAATGTGTGTGTACAGAGAATGGTTGCTGGATGTCTCACGTTTTGCGCGTCGGAGTTTATGGCGTATGTATATGGTTTGGATCAAGAGCTGATGGGGGTTAGGTAAGAGGCTATCGAACGTACAAATGTATTCGTCTCATTGTTGCCTCTCTCTTTCTTGCTGTGTGTGTGTGTGAAGTGTCGTTGCATATGTGTGAGATAGCATATCTCCTCGCTACCTGGTGCTACCGCACCAACAAAAAGGGCAGGAAGTGACAGGTGAAGGCTCTCCATCAATTGGTCGACTGACTGTGTGTGTATGTCTGTCGGTCTGTCTGTCTGTCTGTCTGTATGTGTGTGTGTGTGTGGCTGCAGGTCAGCGCTGCTGTTGGGCCACACAGATCGCTAACTATGCGACCGTAACTATGCGACCGTGTATAACACAACACACACACACACACACACGAATGACACACACAGGTGTTTCTGGTGTGTATGTGTCTCTGTGTGTCTGTCTGTCTTTGCTCTCATGGCCACACACAACAGGCGCATGGCCGTCTGGCGCTGGCATTGGACGCAGTTGGCAGGTATGGCGAGGCGTACAAGAGCCTGGCGACAGCCTGTGATCTCGATCCGTCACACACACACACTAACTCGTATGTGCCCGTTGGTGGGTTTGTCAGGAACGAGTTTGAGCTGCAAAGGCTCGTTGAGCTACACTGTGAGTGCATAGACTCACCACCTGTCCACCAATCCACATTTCTCTCCTTTTCAGGCTGTTCCGTGTGGGCGCGCGCCGCCGGCGGCCAACCACCACCAGCAGCAGAAGACAGCGTCAACAATATCATTGAGACACAGGAGGTCCGTCCGTCCTATGCACCGACACTGCAGGCCCTTGATTGACATGCAGTGTGGGTGTGCAGCGGATGGCAGTCCTGACGTGCTGAGCTGCCAGCTGGGCGAAGAGGGTCGTCGCAACTCGACTGCAAACGACCCGAACCCAAAGACAAACAGGGCAAGTGACCTTCAGTGGGGAGAAGTCTGCAGGAAGACCTTGACACATTCGAATCCGTGCTTGGTAAGAGGAGCATAAAGCCTGAAGGATTCGTAAGCCATCATGGAGGCTGAGATAAGATGCACTTGTGTATGGTGGCTGACCCTGTCTCTTTACTTCCATATTGATTCATCAGGTTTGCATCCACTTATCGCTGTCTACATTTTATATCCCAAGGGCTCTTATATCTCAACAACGCGCTGTCGGTGCTGCCACAGTGTCTACACGCCCAACGAACCACGGGATTCTCTTTCACAGTGAGCCGGAATCGATGCAATTCGATGTGGAGGGTGTGACAAAGCAGTTCCAGGCTATGACTGTGGAGGAAGCGCTAGAATGGGTCAAATTTGAGGACTGGAAGAAGGCTTGGCCGGTTTATTACCGCGTGAGAACGGGCTGTACCATGGAGCCAATCACGGCCATCCACAATCAAATCTGCACCGATGTGGTGGTGAATGAGATAGTCCTGATTGTCGATGAGGCGGACAGTAAGACGTTGGTTTCAGACCTGTTGCCTTCGTGGGGAGGTACCAGTAGACAGAGATGGACTGCACACGAAGGAATCTTGAGTTTTGTGTGTGCTTGTGAGAGAGCAGGTCCACGCGCACACACACACCCTCCAGCCAGTGTGTACCCCTCTCTCTGTGTGTGGTGTGTGTGTGTGGGGGGTGTGTGTAGGAAGAGTACGACTCCGGCCACCGCCGTAAGACCGCCGAGACACAGTGCCTTTTCGAGCGCCTGGGGGCCATCCTCATCTTGCACCTTGGATGTTCCCGAGGTTCCCAACGATTACGCCAGCTTTGGCCTCGACACGATTTGCGTTTCGCATCCTCTAAGCAAGTGGACACGATGAGCACGAGAAGCCTGGGTGACATCATAGAGTGAGCACCAGCATATCAGCCGTGTCGTGTTAGTGCTTTTGCCTTCAGATGAGCAGCCAGCATGAAAGGTCAGCGGCTCTCTGACCTGTGCCGCGGCATCTCTCTGACCTGTGCCTGCTTTTGTCCGCATTCGTCTGCAGAATGAGTGAAGAGCTGCTGGTGCTTATGCCGCTGCCGCGGCAGGTAATACCCCACACCCCAGACATCGTGGGCATTCATCTGTCTGTCTGTATCAGGTCGTCAGCCGTCCGTTACCGGCGCCACCTTTATCACTCCCTCGCCCCCTGCTGACCGCCATGCAAAGCGTGTCATGGGAAGCAGCGAACACCAACTCGCCAGGCGCCTTCGTGTAAAAAAATACATACACCCCACGCGTGAGACATAGGCATTAACACGTATGTGTCTGGATGCCTCTCTATGTGTGCTGTTCAGGCGGCAAGCAGTGACAACGAGTTGCTCGCGGCGGAGAACGCGAAGCTCAAGGAGGTAAATGAAGCTTCGGCTTCTGCTGCGCAACGGAACAGTCGTGGATGTAGCCCTGGCGTGGGAGGCGCCAGGACAGCGCCTCGAGGAGGCAGCGATGATGATCGCGGCGAGCTGCGCGCTTCCGCTGTACGGCAAGAAGGGCAAGACAGCGGCCAGCCGGGCAGCCCCCGTTGGCTGTCTCGGCTCCATGCAGCCTCAGAGCTTCCCCTACATCACATCACGCTCTGGCAGACGTCGACGAGGCCAGTCAGCCACCACCACGCCGTCACCGTTCAAGATAGACCTCGTCACAGGCGAGGTTATCATCCTTCTAGATCAACTGGCGAAGGAGCGGACGACCAATCCGACTCGGTGGCAGCAGAATCCAACAGCGCAGGTGATGGAAGCTGTGTTCAACGAATTCAAAAGCCGGAGCGACTTGATGCCCTTCCTCCGCTCGCCGGAGGCGGATTTTAAGGAGTTCTTGACTGCCGACTGTCGAAAAGTGCGAATGCGCGACGAACACTCAGATCTGGGTCCCTCTACATTAATTTTTCTTCCTACAGGCATCCACAAAATTTGCCTGCCGGCCCCCGGTTGCACTCTCGGCTCCGGCTGTGTCTTTTCTCCTGGCGCTACGGATTCTGAGTCTGTTGCTGGTGCCCTCGACGAGTAGCTTGACCGTTAGGCGAGGTACCTGGGAAGGAGGGAGAGAGGTAGAGAGGGAGGGAGGGAGGGAGGGAGGGGGGGGGGGCGGGACACATGGAAAGGAAGAGCATTCTTGAAAATGTCAATGAAATACTGCAGACTAGGGGTCTGAAGGTAAGGCATGTGAGGGCATAATGAAACCGGTCGAAACAAGTAAGCACCAGCTTTGGCTGGGCCCAGAGGAGCAAGGTCAGTGGCAACATATTCCCAGTTTGTGTCTCCGTGTCTCATTTGTCTGTCGGTGCGTCAGATTGGTGACAGCATCGCTGTGTACATTTTATATTCGACGACTAATCATCTCCCCTTGACCAACGCACGTCGTCAGAGGAGGGACGACCAGATTGCACGAGGCCTCCTCAGCGCTGACGAGCTCAAGTCTATGGGCTTTGCCGCAGCTGGGTGAAGGCATCACGACTGACCGAGGGCTTTCAGCACTTGTAACGACCAGATTCTGACGACTGACTTTTCGGGTGCTTTGAGGTGACTAATTGAGAAGACGGGGGTTTTCATCACCGGCTTCGCTATCCTGATGGCCTCGATGGAGGCTTGCATCACATCAGGGGAGCCTACCCCATCTCCTCCTCCTCCTCCTCCTCGAAGTCCCCCAACACCACTGTTCGATCGCCATCGGCACATGCGATATTTTTGTGCGAGGATGGGAGGAGAGGGCCAAGTACGTACTGGGTGGGTCTGAATATGTCGCTCGCATCGAGGAGCAGCTCATCAAGCTGCCGCTGCGGAGCCTCAAACGTGATACGAGCGACACAATAGCGGTGGCACGAATCCAGAGGAGTGACTGAAATGAGACATGAGCTAGTAAGCTGAAGCAAACGTCCTCACGAGCTGTGTCTCTGTGTCTGACGTACCTGTATGTCCATATGATAGAAGACTTTCTCTGCTGTCATTCTCCGTAGGTTTGGCATCAAGATCGACAAGAGCTGGCCAGGGGAGCTGAAAGCATGAATTTCAACTGCGTGGCGCATCATTCTGCCTGCCTGCCTGTTCGCCGCGACGCCACAAGCGATGGTTGCCCTTCCATGGGAAGTGACGGGTGTCCTGGGCCATTGATTACATGTCATTGCTAGCCGCCGTGCATTCATCGCTGCCTACAATTTATATCCGTGGACTCGGCAGCTCCAGGAATAGTACTTCGACACCATTTAAGAATGCCATTGATGGTGATATGTGGCTGCCTACATCTTATGTAATACATATCACCTACATAAGCGACACGTGAAGAGAGTGACTTACGCCGTCTGTATGGATGGACGAATGGATCGGTCGACGAATGGGTCTTCGCTAGGTGTCTCCGGATGTGAGCAAGGCAGATAAACTCTTCAGTGGGATCCGTGCATCCGCAAGTCAGCTCACATATTCAGTCCGTCAAATTGACGAAGGTCATACACACAATCTTTGGCCCTTCATGAATAAACACACCGTGACCATCCAACGACCCAGGTCCGGACAGAGCCCCCAGCTCATCCACAGAGACCCAAAATAACTCATAGTCACACTCTGCCCAACCACACACATACAACATATTTTACACCATCAACACGCCCATCCATCTATCTCCCGCCCCGAAGAGGCAGGCAGCTCATGAAGCTCCAGCGCTTCCTCGGCCGACCCCCAAGTGCAGGGTGCGCTGCTGCCGCATTGGATCGGCAGCCCCTGCTGCCGGTCTCAACATGCCACACCTCCAGCTCACTGCAGGTGAAGTTCAGGGACTGCGCCAATGTGCCGCTGCCCCGATACCGCGCCGGCAAATGCTCCTTTTCGATCCACTGTTGGCAGCTGCTGAGGTCGGCTGCCGGACCCGAAGTATGAGCAAATCCCAGCCACAAGACTCCTCCAGCGCCACCGCCACCGATGCGCACATTCGCAGTCGGCAACCCCGCTTTGCTCTTCACCACCCCACTTGTGCCGGCCACATCCACCACCTGACTCTCTGAGGGTAGCTCGATCTTGGTCGTACGCTTATAGGCGCCAGACAGCGGTGGGCCCGTGGTGGGCAGCGAAAAGAAGAAGATGGGAACGCGGTATATGCCGCTCGTCTTAGTGGGGTCTTGTGGCGGGGTGAGTGGCCCGTCAACAAAGCAGCCAAATCGGTGGGTGCGATCCTTGACGGCGAAGAGCAGGCCGCTCTTGCCTGCCACCTTGTCAATGAACGCCTTGTACTCGAAACCGTCGCTGCGAGACCTGACATACACAGCACACGGCGCATAGAGAAGGTCAAAGGGATTTCGTGGATGGCTTCTCACTTGAAGACGAGCGACGGCTTGCAGATGGGTTTGTGGATCATGTCCAGGACGGCCACCCACTCGTCTGCGGACTTGATGATCCACCCAATGCCCGCCGGCAGATCAACGGGCGGCGAGTACGAGTAGGAGAGGCCGTACTGACACAGACAATATTGACACAGACCAGATGTGACCGACCGGCAAGCCACAATAGCAAACCACTCAGACTTACCATCATGAGATCCTCTTTGAACAGCCCACACTCGCTGTCCTCCATCGCTGGGGGCCGTACGAATTGCCCCGCTGGCATGGTGCCGCCGATCCGACGAGCGAAGTCGACTGTGTTGACAAAGTGACGGGTGGGGGTCTGACGCACTCGACGGTCACCCCAACAGGGCGGAGTACTGAACACCCACACAAACACATAACAGAACAGCTCACATGTGACCCTCTGTGTGTCGACCTCTCTGTTTCTGCTGTGCCCGCCCACTTTGAGAATCGCGTGAGCAAAGGGTGATCACTGCCAAGTCGCTGCAATGTCCGCTTCAGCATGCTCACCTTCTTGCCGAGCACTTCCAGGCTCAGCACCTCCACGTCACCATCGTCCTGGCCCTTCATGAATGGCTGCATGGCCGAGAAGAATCCCGAGAGCTCCTCCCTGCCCTTTGTGAGCCTCTTCATGAGCCTCTCCAGCTCACCCAGCGACTCCTCGACGACATCCGCAATGGCCTTGTCCTTCCCATCGCATGCCGTGCCATCGAGATTGGGCGTGACGGCACCGCTGCCCTCCTGTGGCAGAGCTGGAAACGACGAGAGCGTGCGCATGAAGAGGGCGTGATACTCGTTGTAAGCTGGGTCGGATGCCTTGGATGCCGGCAGCTGGACAGTGTCGGTGCGGTTGGTCTCGTAGAGAGTCAGCCCGTCCAGAAAGGCCTCGAAGTATGCCGGTGACACCTCCAGATAAAATTGCCCGCCTTCGTCTCTCGGGAGTGCATCGGGGAAGCAGAGCAGCAGGACCGCAATGTACCGCCGCTTGATGAGCTGGAGAGCGCTACGAGATACAGGGAACAACACTCCACCTGTCGATTGCACACACGCACACACACCAAACCAAACCGGTCACACAGTTAGTAGTGCCAGCGCCTCTCTGGAGTGTTTTTTGCCTTGCCCGCATTGATCAGCATCTCCCCACTGGCAGAGGTCTCCTGCAGAGCTTCCCTTTTGGCAGCAACGAAGCGTGAGATCTCATCCGTGAGAGTCGTCTTGGCGCTTCTCAGCCGCTCGAACGACGCATCGAAGGCGCCACCGACACTCTCGCACCCCGTGAGCAGCCTGAGCACCGGATCCTCCTCCATGGCTGCCGTGTCCTGCGGCTGCCTGAAGCATAACGTGACACAGATTCCTCACGGTTTTGCTCATCTGTGACAGAAGAAGATGCCTGCTGCCTTACCGATCACCCCTTCTTCTCGGTGCGCATGTTTTCGTGGTGGTGGTTAAGGCATGTTTTCTGGCTGAATTGTGATGCGAGCTTTGAGTTGCGAGGCAGCAGCGGTTTCAAGGGAGCACCCTAGGAGCCAAGTCCTCTGTGTCTGTCCAGGAGAGACGCAGACACGCAACACAGACACGCAACACGCGGAGGGCAGAGGCAGCAAACAGGTGGATATGCAATGCGCTGCGAACGACGGCAAGTCCATGCATGCAGAGTTCTTTTAGTTTCAGCGAAAGCGTGAGCAACGTCGGAATCGTGGCGAACGTTGCTCACGGCGGATAAACTCCCGACCCATGAATCCTCACTCAAGACAGCTCACATATTCAGTCTATCAAATTGACGAAGGATCGTCAAATTATTACAAAGGATCCAATCTTTGGCCTTCAGAATAGACACCCACCCGACAACCCAGGAACAGGGCTTCCACAGAGACCCAAAATTACTCACAACAACACTCTGCCCAACCACACACATACAACACATCCTTCTGGACAGATACACTGCATAAACGACAGTGCCTTTCGCCGCTATTTTACACCATCAACGCGTCCATCCATCTATCTCCCGCTCCGAAAAGGCAGACAGCTCATGAAGCTCCAGCGCTTCCTCGCGGCCGATCCCCAAGTCCAGGGTGCGCTGCTGCCGCATTGGATCGCCAGCCCGTGCTGCCGGTCTCAACATGCCACACCTCCAGCTCACCACAGCGAAAGTTCAGAGACTGCGCCAGTGTCCCCTGGTCATACTTATTGATAGCCGCCCCCGTGTAGCCCGCCGGAAGGTGCTCCCGCGGGATCCACTGTTGGCAGCTGCTGAGGTCGGCCGCAGGACCTGGCTCACCATAGCCCAGCCATAGGTGCCCGCGAGCGATGCCCACGTTGGCAGTCGGCAGGTCCTTGTTGTCCTTGACTACCCCCTGTGTGCCGGCCACGTGCACTCCGTGCCTGTCCTCAGGTATATCGATCTTGGTTGGGGCATCGCACGCACCCGAGAGCGAAAAGAAGAAGACGGGCACCTTGTAGTTGCGGCTCGTCTTAGTGGGGTCTTGTGGCGGGGTCAGCGGCCCGTCAACGAAGCAGCCAAATCGGTGGGTGCGATCCTTGACGGCGAAGAGCAGGCCGCTCTTGCCCGCCACCTTGTCAAGGAACGACGTGTACTCGAAACCGTCGCTGCTGGATCTGACATACACAGCACACGGCACATAGAGAAGGTCAAATGAGTCAAAGGGATGGTTGCTCTCACTTCAAGGCCAGCGACGGCTTGCAGATGGGTTTGTGGATCATGTCCAGGACGGCCACCCACTCGTCTGCCGACTTGATGATCCACTCATTGCCCGCCGGCAGATCAACGGGCGGCGAGTACGAGTAGGAGAGGCCGTACTGACACAGACAATATCGACACAGACCAGATGTCACCGACCGGCAAGCCACAATAGCAAACCACTCAGACTTACCATCATGAGATCCTCTTTGAACAGC